GATTAAGCAAGAAAGATAATACTGGTGAGTCACTTCCCAAGAAATGATCTTATGGATTTCATCCAGCTGTATTTGGCATATCGCCCCCCCCTCAACTCCAAGTATTTCACGTTGAACAGAGAAACAGACATGATGACACCCTTCTGGTCCATGCTGTTCTGTGGGGAATGCTCCCCTCCGTGACCCGCCACTACTTTGCCCTCCTGGGCAGACGCCGTCAGGCGACTCTGCTCTGCTGACTCAGCAGCTCGCTGGAGAGTGAACCAAAAGCAGGTTTTGTTTTTTCGCAAGTGCCAGAAATACTTGACGGCCAGAATCTTTCCATCTGAAATATCGACTGCAGGAGTATTGAACCGGTCTTGTTCTTTTTTTCTTTGTTCTTCAAAAAAGTGACTAAACAGTGAAAATCTGCTCCTTTTTTCAGAAACACACGCTGTTCCCCTCTGCTTTGTAAGAGCACACTGTGCTGCTGAGTCATCTTTTCCATCCGTTATGGGAATAAGGTGACATTTTAAACAAGCATGCCTCAGCTCTGACTCAGGTCGCCGGTGATGGGCTGAAGAGTCAGCACTGTGAGCGGCGCTGTGGGGTTGTTCAACAGACATGGCTCCCATTTTCATCCGTAAAGCCCTCAGATCTGTTGTACAGGACACTGGTTTTGACAACACTACTGGCGACGCCTCTATTTGTTGACGAAGCCACACCATCGCTACGTATGGGGTTGAGTAAAAGCTCAAATAAAGCCACAAGAGGATCAGAGTGCTTTAATCTGGTGAAAAATGAAAACAAACTTGGTTGATTTAATTCATTCTTCATGTAACTAGTCAAACAGAACTCGGCTGTTTATGCGCCAGTGGCTTAAAGGGGAACCAGACGGGTTTAAACAACAAACACTGCACGAGTTGACAGGACCTTCACCGTAGCGATGTGTGGGCAGACTCGCTCGTCACCGTCCTCCCGACGGCATCACAACTGTAAATCTACACAAACGCTGGCCTGAACGCCCTCACAAAGCAGACTGCTATAGCCTCTGTCATCCACACTTCATAAACACCTCACAGTTGGGGGGGAGGGGGGGGGGGGGTTATCAAATGTCTTAAAGGGAACAACACCACAACGCAGGCATCTGCTCATTGCAATTAACCCCCGGTAACAAAACCTACTCACAGATCAGGAGCAAACACAACCAGGCCTTGTAAGGCCTATTAGCAGGGCTTGGGCACACCAGCAGAGAACAGATATTAGCGCACACACGCGTGTGTGTGTGTGTGTGTGTGTGTGGACATGGATGTGAGCGTGGATGCCGGATGGATGTCAACAAGTGAAGGACAAATGACAAATGTGGAGGGATGCAACACGTTTCCGTCACGGCGTGGAGCGAGAAGGATTAAAGCAGCACATTTCCCAACAGATGCCCCTCCACGCCCTCGTGGTCCACAAGACAAACAAGCAGACAACAGCGTGTTATTTCAGCCTCCTCCAGCTTTTGGGGTAACCTTACAGCTGGCGCAATAGGGTGTTGCATTTTGACGTTGCACCCTGTTTTGGCTTTTGCCAACCCTCGGAGGGTGATCAAATTCCCTGCGGCCATCGGCGTCCAGCAGCTGTGTGATCCTGTTATTCCTGTGCGGCCTCTGCACCAGTTAAGCAGCTTATTACAACACTAGAAGCTGTATTCTGCCACTGCTAGGGAAGGCCTGCTTCGGAATCTTAAATAAAACTACCTAATAGCTAACATATCTGCTATTCTAAATGTGTTTTGGGATACTTACCTACATCCTCTGGTATCATACTGTCTCATACTTTTGATGAAGTGGACCTTCTTTGGCAGCTTGGGGCCTGGAGAGCCAGAAACGTTCCTCAACCTGGGCAGAGACAGCAACTTTAGCAAAGGATGTCTCATGTGAGACGGCTTCTTCCGGAATCAGGTCGATCTCTCTTTCAACCGCCGGTCTACAGACCAGCCCGTTGTAAAAAAAATATTCAAAACCTCACAGAATGAATGTTGCAGGTGATTCGAGAGTTGTCCAACACGAAGCAGAAACCACAACAACAACACCAGCACTGAATCGCAGCGCTGGACAAACGGGTTACAGAAAGCTCGTCGCGGTCTGAAGACGCTTAAAAAAATATTCATTTACGCAACAGAAATTGCTGGAACGTGTGAGAATGAAAGCAAATTTCCCCTGACGATACGGAAGTCAGCCGTCGCTTTTTGTTATGTTTTTTTTTTTTTAAAGGCCCGCACCATTTTTTTTTACGACGAGACGTCGAGAAAACCTCCTCACCTCTGCCGTGAATCCAGAGAAGTGGTGGCCGGGACCGGGCTGAGGGCGGCGGGGGTCGACTTGGCCCGCGCGCAGGGCTGGTGGTGGACGGCGGGGGCGGGGGACAGCGGGGTGTCCGGGGTCGGTGTGTCCACCGCACCGCCGCCCTCTAAAAATACATCATTGGGTCCGACAGAATTTGCGGTGGACGGTCCGGGAGACACCGCCAACGAGGGTCGGACAGGGCTGAGCACTCCGGGGAAACTGAGCGACGGGCCGGCCGCGGAGGGCTCTGTCACCTGGACGGCAGGTCCGTGGCTGTCGGCGGGCACGAGCTCCTCCGCCGCTTCTTCGTTTCTCTCCCTAAGACCGGGCTCGTCGGCGGCGTTTTGGTCGGCATTTTCAACGCTCGGCTGAGGCTGGGGTCGCCCGTCGAGTGAGATATTGCTGAGGAACAGCAGAGCTGCCTGTCTACGCCGGGAGTCTTTGGCTCTTCTCCGTTGGTCGCGGTGGGTCCTCGCCGGTTTACTGTTACTGCCGTTCGAATGCAGACCGCAAAAGGCGGTCGCCATTCTAGGCTGTACTGGCTGTGGTGAACACGAAGGCAACGGGTACCGGTTTCGTAGCGTTTGACCACGCCCACTAACGCGTGATTGGCTATCGGGGTAATTATGCACATGAAGCCGTGTAAATCCGCGTGGGTGATTTGGTGTCTTGAGGAAAAGTCCTTACTGCCTGTTGTTGATTGGACGTGAGTTATACTGGGAACGAGCTTGGCTCAAGAAATTGATCAATTAAAAACTGAAAGATCATTTCCTATGAACGCCACTAAGAGAATAACGAGACCCAGACCTAATTGGTTCTTAGAAATTCTATGTTTTTTTTTAAACATAAGAGAAGTTCAATTGTAGTGTATCGGTTGATGATTTGAAGTTCAATTCATTTTCAATCAAAGTGATGAATGTGTTTATACCAGATCTTCCCAAAGTGGGGGTTAGCACCCTAATGTGGAAAAACAATTGACATAAAACTGAAATTTGAAATGATGGCCTGTCATTTATTTTGGCCATAACCTCACAGTAAGTAACAAACTGCTATAAGCAGAGTTATGGTTGTTTGAGCCTTTATCTTCAGTGTGGCTTGTTTTAATTAGATTAGTATTGTGTGAAGTCATCAACTGCTGGTCACAGGTCCCTTCTGTTTTGTCGAGGATCAGTGGCTAAAACGTTTATGAGCCTGGATTACATCGGTGTCATGTGATTGTGTATGATGTTTAGCTGTCATTTGTTTGCTTAAATCTATTCATACGTCATGGTTTTCCTACAAAATAATGGCTCCAGTTACCTGTTTAACATTGTATTTGTACACCTGTGACTCTTATATAAAAAAATTGGATATTCTTTGCGCTAGTTTAACCTATTGGGACACTTTGCACAAGAATTAGATTTTTTATTCATGCACCGCTGATCTGTAAAAAAGAAGTCTTGGTGAGTTTGTATGAGACAGAAAGTGGAGTGTGGATTACTGCCCAACTTCCCAAACGCAGTATAATGATTACCATAATAATAACTTTTCCAAAGATGACAGGTTGTGCTTTGTGTTGTGTATCCATCAATAGATTCAGCCAGTAGCAACAAAGGTTCGGTAAACACATCGCTTTTTATTGTGGCAACAATGACAAATTGTCTTCACCTTGTTGTTTTTCTTGCTCTGCTCTGAACAGCAACAGTCTGTCATGACCGGCTTAAGGCTTTTGATTCTAGCTCTGTGTTTGAGGTACAGCCCCACCCGATTCCTGCCACAACAAGCTCATCTTATGGTACAACTGGAGGGGTTGTCTCGTGATGGACTCAAGCAGTTAGCACCATAACTAAAACCTCTCTGGCTTTTATTCCTTTAAACTACAGCAAGGGTGGCGAAGATGCTCTGTGGGTTATGTATTTGTTTCGGTGTCATCTGGGGAGAGAACACAAAATTGTTGTATCTCAGTGACACAAACTTGAACTCTAAAGCACTGTACACCCTCGTCAATACAAGCAAGTATGTGGGCTCACATACAAACTGATACAAACACACAAGGTTGGGATATTACCATCTTTCAACTATTCTATAGTAAAACAACCTTGTTTACAGTAAGTGTTGTAAAGATTTATCTTTAGGGATCCATAAAATCCCAATGATGTCATTTTTTGGGGAAAAAACAACATCAACTTTTATTTGTCACCAAGTGTACGGCTAATGAAAGAAATGGGTTTAAAACGATGCCGCCTTGCTAAAGTACAGCAGCATGACGATGAATCCTTGTGCTAGTGTAAACCAGTCCGGCTGAACACGCCAATAATTGTTTTCCGCCAAAAGGTAAATTTGGTTTTTCAATAACAAAATCAATTCAAACTGTTGCCAAACTTAACCCAAAGTGTACATCCTTGAACCTTTTTTTTTTGGCCATTTTTCATAGAATTTGCATCAAATCACAAATTCTCATTGAAAAAAAAGAAAAAGAATTTGACAACAGACCTGCAAATGAGCGTTATACCAAAAAGACCTCACACCTGTACTATCGACAATATCAAAGCTAATCTGAGAGGACTCTGGAGTCTGTGGCTATTTTTGTCTACATTTTTCAGACAAGGGATGCAGTAGGGTTACAGACAGTGCCGTCCCTCTCCAACCTCCTCGTCATTGTACAGTAATATACATTTGAAAGTCTGCACCCGTTACTTTGACTAAATAAGAAAATGTGGAGTTCTGCCGGTAGAAAGCATCCTGCATTAGTGACGGGAGTCCCCATGCGGCTGTTGTTCGGGGCACACACATTCAGGAGGACTGTGCATCTTGTTGAAATGAAGAGATGGGGAAAAAAACAAAACAAACAAACAAACAAAAAAAAAAAATCCCCCCCAAAAAGCTTTTAAACGCTCACAGATTTTTGTTCATCATCCTCTTATCTTAAAAAAAAAACAACTACCACAGCATTGTTGCAAATCCAGCAGACGACGACGTGAAAACGCTCAAGAAGCCTGGTCACAAATATTCACTCCGGCAAAAGTTTGTACATTCAACTCAAACGTCGCTTTAGAACCGCGGGTTCGAAGCGGCTTTTTCAACACCACCAAAAAGCTTTGGGAAAAAAAAAAAAAAAGAAAAAAAAAAAACGTTTCATGTGGATTGTGTTTCGAATACAGCGTGAGATAAGCCTCATTATCTCGCTCACCAGCTCAATGGATGACGTTTTAGCTGCCATAAATAATCATGCAGGGTTGGAGGCTTGTCTCTGTGGTGAACCTCCTGGAGAGGATGCGCTGAGGAGGACTCTCCTCTCCTCCTCTGATTGATAACAGCTCCACCTCTCGGCCTGCCTGTGCTCTTCTTCACGTGGGGGGGGGGGGGCAGCCAGCTCTGCAGCTCAACTGCCGGCTCCCTCCTGTGTCAACATCTATGACCTGAGAATTGATAAAGAAACCAAAATATGCACCATCGTTTCACGACACCACGGGAGCTTTCCTTCCCTCCCCTTAGCAGAACACATAGACACAGCCGTCTGTCTCTCTCTCTGCCTGTCTCTGCGCGCAGAGCAGGTGAGTTGGAGCTCGAACTCTTGCTCAGGGAGAGCCGACCTTCTGCCTTTTTTTTTTCTCTTTTCGTTCGTTTGTTTCAGGCAGGACGACGCGCGGTGAGAAGGTGAACCGAAGGCGGCGCCCGGGGCCCGTCACACGGTGGTCTCGTACTCCATCACTTCTTTGGGCGAGGTCAGGCAGCGGTACTGGATCCGGGGCGTGACGGGGGCGGCGATCTCCAGCACCAGGATGGTTTTGCGCAGGCGCCGGTCGATGAAGTGGGCGTCCCACGCCGGGTATCTCTTCCTGGGCAGGTCTATTCGGATGACGGGCCCCTCAGTCCTGGGTTTGAGGTCGGCCACCGGGGGCTTGGCTCCCCGGGGAGGCCTCACCTGAAACACGTCGGCGTCCGCCCCGGGCCCCTGCTCCCTGTCCGAGCCTTTAGTTCTCTGCAGGGTCCTGGGGGGGCTGCTCACCAGGTCGGGGGGGAGGCTGGCGGCCGGGGAGGCCAGCGCCTCCGCCGGCGCCTCCTTCTCCACCACGAAGCCCCAGCCTGAGACCGAGCCCTCCGGGTGCAGCAGGCAGTAGTAGACGAACATGAAGAAGGTGCCCAGGGCGTAGCTGCTGGCCACCACGCACACCATGACCACGGCGTAGAACTCGGAGCCGCCGCCGTGGCGCTCGGCGCCGCCGCCGCGGTACAGGTACCAGGCGGTGGTGAGCGCCACGTTCTCCACCAGCACGGTCAGGCTGTAGACGAGCATTCTGAAGCGCGTGCGCCCCTCCCGCACGCTGAACCAGCAGAAAATGTACACGATGCCCACCATCATGTTGTAGATGATCTCCTCCCACTTGGACATGCAGAAGTCCGTTTCGCCCTGGATTATCCAGAAGGTCATGATGCACCAGTGGGCCACGATGAAGATGCCGAAGTAGAGCTGGAACACGGAGGCGAACAGGGCGAAGGCCAGGGTGCGCGCCCCGATGGTGAACAGGTGCCACAGGATCTGAACCACGACGGCTTTGTAAGTCATGGGCAGCTTATCGTCCCGCGAGTCTCGCAGCACTTTCTGATAGGAGGAGACCATCCAGGCCAGGGACATCAGCGAGGCAGAGGCCGAAAGCCCTGAGGAGACAGTCAGGAGGAGGACAGGGAGAGAAGTTAGATGGATGGATGGATGGATGGAGGCAGCAGCGAGCTAATTCTTTTACCGTTTGGCAGAGAAGAAAAGCACATTTCCTGCTGCTCTGCTGGGGCCTGATGGAGACCAGCACAAATGACTCATCTCCCACAGCATGTGAGCAGCGTGGGCTGCAGTTCCATGATTGACTGATGCACCAGTTTAGTTTAGTTTTTTTAATTTTTTTTTATTTCCAACAATGCTGATTGAGGGCGTGGTGAGACACTCACCCTGAAGGGGCAGCACCTGACCGGTGTGGATCATGATGCTGAGCTGCAGCACCAGCTGAGGAGCGCTCTTCAGGAAGGACTCCAGCAGCCGCAGCATGCTGATGTCGGCGCTCTCAAACATCATGCGCCGGTAGTAGTGGCGGCGCTCTGGGTCCCCGTGCCAGCGGCTCTGCACCCCCAGATACAAGGCGTGGACGTACCTGCGCGTCAGAGGCAGATTCAGACGCATTCAGATTGAGTTAAAGTACACTTTAAAGTTTAAAAAAAAGAGTTTGGGGCGTCATTATTCATTATTCAAAACTGTCAGTAGTTCTCGCCTGAATGCCGAGGCCTTTGCTCTCCTGGGATTTAGATTAGACTGAAACTGAATTAAGCAGCTCTGTAGTTATAACTTTAGCCCAGACATCAGGGGGCAGGGGCGTGTGCAGCGCCTGGCTGCAGCCTCGCTTCTTCAAACAAAATAAGTCCCCAGACTGGGGCGAAGATGCAAAGTTTGAGCGGCTGCGGAAAGATAATAATGAATGCAGCACGTATCACCGTACTGTCCATGGAGCTAGAGTCCTTCAGTACAACGTGGCTCTTGCTGTCCAGCTACAAGGATTCAGTTTTATCTCTATGGTGCCAAAACACAACAAACATCATCTGGCACTTTAAAAATGTGGGCCAATTCAAGCCAATTAGAAGTGATATGAGTGATCCCAAAACACAAACCAAGCATTTCCAGTTCATAAAAATTCTAAAGACATCCAACTCAGACAGAGCCAACCAAAAAACAACATTTATGAAGAACACTTTTGGCCGTCAGGGAGGAATAAAAGTCAATAGAAGAGACCCATGTTAACAAGCCCACCCAACCACAAGGAAGATTCAATAACTGCTCTTTGTTCTGGTTCCCCATACACAAAAGGGTGCTTAGTGGTGTACACATACTGGGAAAACCGAGCGTGTGTGCAGCAGTGAGGGGTCAGAGCCTCGCTGGAGGACGCGCGTGGTTTCACAAAGCATCCTGCCGGTGACACAGACCCGTATCACATCTCACGCGCACCGCAGTTCAGGTGCCCGGCCGAAATTGATCCCGGTTCCCCCGACCGGCTGTGTATCAGAGACGGATCATTCCCGAGTTAACAGCCCAGGGTGAGACGCGCGGCGGTAATCCTCTTAGCGCACACACACACTAGTCTGAGAGCAGCACTTATGAATGGGGAAGGCACAACAGCTTTGATGGCCTTACCGGTAATTCTGTGCTGCTGCAACGTTTTAACGTGCTTCTGGACACACACACAAACACACACACACACACACATTGAGTCTCGGCCTCACAAGGAGGAAGTAGAGAATCAATATTACCCATAGGGCTGTCTCAAGAGAGAGGGAGACAGAGCCCACAAAGAGACACGCGTGATGTGGTCCCACATGAAAATCAAACCATTCATTTGCATCTGATTGCATCATTTTACCAAAAATGTCTCTCACAGTAACCGTCCAACACGTCTGGAAAACATGTCTCCTTTAATAGATATAGAGTATTGTCTAACCCTCCTCCCACTACAGTTCATCTAAATGCCTCCTCTCTGCTGGCAGAGTTTCAAGCCTGTCAAAACTGATCAGAGAACTCTTAAGTCTGCGATCCGACCAGCCATCACTGGCTGAGCAGCTGACCCACAGACCTACTGCCGTCCACGTGAGAGCCGCTGTGCAAATAGACACGCTCGGGTTAAAACACAGCGTATGATCGAAAGAATCTCGATGAAACTTCAGTCATGGCTAGAAGAGAGTAAGTAGCGAAAATACACCTAAATGATAAAAAAGAGGATGTGGTACAAACAGCTCCTAATATCACTGAGAGCCATTTAGCTAATTTTCCTCTCAAAAAGGAAAGACATAATACCAAAGGTTGCTTTTTTCTTTTCTTTTTTTTGACATTTCTGTACTTATTTGCTTTACTGTAGAAGGGATCTGTGTGGATGAGTTGATCATTTTCAAGGGATGACTGACCCAGAAGCCTGTCAGGGGGGTTGGAGGGAGTGGGTGGAGTCTACTTCTCCTTCTCTGAGGAGGGGAGAGATGTCAAACAAGAGGGGGGGGGAAAATGACATGAAACACTCTGAATGCAATTTTCTCTGAATGATCGGGTGTCCTAATTGCAGGGTGTGACACTGGACGTTGTGTGGCGCGCGTGCGTACGTTCGTGCGCCTGCACGCACACAAAGGCAGCAGAATTTTTTGGTCCAGTGGGGTGGGGGGGGGGGTGGGGGGGGGGGGGCGGCATCCTCCTACTCCCACCCCCCCTTCCAAATCTCTCCGATCACGACGGGTCCACACACTTACCTCCAGACCTGTGCCAGCTGAAAGATGTGAATGAGGGCCTGGAAGACCCACATGAAGGCTCTGCAGCAGCCCCGGGCGCCCCCCCCCGGAGCCCGGCCCGGGCCCCGGCACCAGCCCCGGTCCCAGCCCCGGCCCTGGTCCCCCGGCCCCGGCGCGGCCAGCGCCCCGCTCGCCGCTGTCCTTGGTGCTGAAGTCGCTCTCCTCGGCCCCGGACGCCGCCACCACGGCGGCCGCGGCCGTGCCGCTCTCCACCGTGTCCGCGAAGTCGTAGGCGAACCATCGGAAGCTCAGCACCTGGACGACCACGGACGGGACCACCACGAAGACCAGGGTCAGAGAGAAGCACCAGTACTCCCGCCTTAGGTAGTAGTCGGCGGCCAGCCACAGGTCTGAGGCCCCGTCCGAGAAGAAGACCAGGAGGGCGCCCAGCGTCCAGCAGCAGTCCCGGAGGGTGTAGCGCTGCTCGGAGCCGCGCCGCGGCGGGGGCCGCGGGTCCGGCCGGGGAGGACACTCGGGTGGGATTTCGGTTCGTAGAGAGACGGGGGCACCGTCGGATTTCGCGGCCATGTTTGTTGTAGGGAAGAGAGTAAGAGATGGGAAAATAATGGAAGGGGGAGGGGGGTACGCGTAGCCTGTCGGTCTGTGTGCCTGCGCGTGGAGGAGAGGGCGGGGGGGGGGGGGGGGGGGGGGGGGGGAGGAGGGGGGGGGGGGGGGGGGGGTCTGACAGCACCAGACTGATGACTTCCCCGCATCAAGTCGTTGGTTTCTACCTTTCAGGAGGACAGTAACACGTGCTTCCGGTCAGTTGGAGGGGATTATCTACTCTTGGGTGTGGATATATAGTTTCTAAATGCCACATTGGGCGTAAAGGTATTCATAAAATTCAAAAGGTGACACTTGTAAAGTATCACTACGTTGTGCATAAGTTATAACCATCCGTGTCACTACTTCCGTGTTCAAATATGACCGTTTGTCGGGCTTTATTGATGCTTTTAGGCATGGAGAAATGTTACAAAAATAACAAAGAGAAACCTCTTAAATTAAATTATATGTAATTTCTATAAAAGTCGGTCTCTGAATTAAAAGTTTAATTAACATTCCCCCCCCCACAAAAGGAAAGTTCCAATAACCAATGACTGAAAGCCATTTAAGGTGTCTAGGGTTCTGTTATTGATATTTGGGCCATTTCTAACAGAACGCACACTTCCTGTTCAGAATGCAGAAATTGAAGCTACATTCCTGAGACTGACACAAGTAGCCCATGTATTATGTATACTTTACAAATACACATTTTGCTTTTGTCTCACCATCAGCCTAAGATGTAACAGCTCAAACCGCCTCCACGCCTTTCCATGTTATGCTCAAATTCATCATCTATTGTTTTTCCCTTCACCCACCATTTGCGACTTCCTCTTTCTCTGCTCAGAATCTTCCAGAAACTTGGGCTGACTGCATCATTCCCACCAGCACGACTCTGCACACTGGCGCTGAACTTTTAGGTTCACTTCATCCATGAGAGTAAGAACCAAAGGCAAACTATTTAATGAAAATGTACTAAAATTTAATCATTCATAAAAGCTTGAAAATCATCTGTGACAGGGTAACAAGAAGCAATATTAGAGGTGGTTTAGTACAATATATTTTTGCCTCAATATGAATCGGAGCACAACCCCCCCCCTCCCCGCCAGTCTATAAAATACTAATTTCTTTATTATGCAAAAAATGGAAGTAGAATATATTATGGGAAATATGGAAGGCTTACAGCTCTCAATATAAAACAAAGTCACTTAGGAAAGATGTTATCGACACACATCCTTGTAAGTAGGACACTGATGCATCTTCATTGACACAGTTAGTGCAGAAATGTATGAGAAGACCAAGATTTCGCATGGATTCTTTTGCAAAAAGCATCGTCACAATATGCCAGACTGATGTTACTTTCAACAAAAAAAAACAGAAAAACGTTTTAGTTCCCACAGATGGATTCGAATCCAGTCTCCTCGTTTACATCGACATTTCCAGAAAGACACCTTGGAAAAGGAGGAAAATAAAAACAAAACGAACGAAAACAGTTCTCATCGGGTCGACGATACAAAAAGAGGTGGATTTCTTTGCCATTAAAAAAGCAGAAAAGTTTCTTGAGAGTTATGTGCCTTCTGTCATTTTGCAGGTGGTGAGGTTTTTTTTTTTTGTCTGCCTTTTTCAGAATGCACCGGAGAGGACTTGGAATGCTGGCACCATCCACAGGGAAACAGCTAATCAGGAGTTTCTGCAAGAGAGAGCACACCGCATCAGCACGGGGAAAACAAGTGTACAGCGTGAAGTGCTTTGAACTGAAATACAGCAACAAAGAAAATCCCCCCGGGGGCAGCGTTGGGAGGTTTAGCTACAGTACTTCTCAGCATCGTACAGCCGGGCAGTTGAACAGGACCATCATCATCGCCCATGTTTAAGCGCCTGGTTTAAATTTGAATGTCTGTAGCAACCTCAATAAAAAAAACAGCAACAAATTCCCTCTTGTGGAGTCTGACATTTTGTCCTCAGTAATGTCGGTCTTCCAAACTCCAAACAGCATGTAGATTGTAAAGTTAAAGGAGAAGCTTCGCCTTGAGGGTAAAACATGTTTTAGGGAACTGGGACAGGAGGTGACTAAGAGGGCAGTTGCAGTCGGCTCGTTTCAAATCCAAACTGTGAATGATCGGTTATTTGCATTCAAAACCCTTACTCTTCCCTTTTTTTTTGGTTTTGAAGACTGAAATGACTGAGACCTGTGTTGAATACAAACAATGAAGAACTGAAACGGTGTCATGTGACTCTTAGTCCAGAGTTTGAAGGCGGGGGGGGGGGGGTTAGCAGAGCTCATTTCCTGCATTTACCTTGTTGAAACTTCTGGGTCGGGAAGATGTGGCAAGAGCTCAGACAACTTTTTCTGAAGCTTTCACAGCTATTTCTGAAAGCTGTTAACTTTCCTTTAGTTCCTCTGTTGCCCTCAGAGTCAAATAAGACCAGAGGCAGTCGCATGTCTCGTGTCTCCAGGTGGAAAGTTTGATTCAAAAGTTCTTTTGTGAGTTGAGCGGAATTAAAAGAACACAATAAGGCCGTCGAGCTTTCTTTTGTGACTTAATGGAAAATCAGAAGCTCTTTACGCTCTAACGGATGAACCAAAAGGATATGCGACGGCTCTTTTCCTGCGATAATGCATCGCTGTGGCAGTGCGATACCTGACGAGATAACCCTCCCAGCTGTCCTTCCTGATGCCCTACATGACATCAGACAGCATGCTATTATCCGGCTGATACGCAGTCTTAGCCCCGTACAGAACTTCAGACCTCCCACCGGCGTGGCTGGTTTGTTTTTCATTAATTCATTTTTCTTTTAAAAATGTTTTTGATTAAAAAATGGTCTTAACTAGACATATTACTGGCTGACCATGTGCAAAAAGCTAACTTTTTTTTTTTTTTACCGTCAATCAACATGTCTTTTCAAAAGAAGAACGTCCACCCTGATGTAAAAAATGCGATTCGAGTTTAATTGTCTCACAGAAGATGCGACAGAAATGACGACAGCTCTCTTTGTCTTCACAGAAACGTACCCTATAGAAACTTTAAAGGACATCTTAACACTATTTTTTTTTTTTCCAAAGATAGTTGAGAGCTTATTCCATCTTCTTGAATGGAGCGGACTTTGGCGGCCTGTTTTAAAGTATTTTAGGACTAGCCTGATTATGTCGGGGCTCAGACGATCCAAAGCTCCACCTCAGGATGCGGCGCAGCGCCGTTCCTTACGTTTACCCACATGCTCATCCTCTGGGAGGGAGAGACCTGCATGCTTCAGCCCTCGCTGTGTCGGGTAACTATTTTTAGTGGGGAAAATGACAGCGCAGTTGTTGGAGTTGAGCCTTTATTCTGATTAAACACTCATCACAGGCGAGAGAGCCTGATGTTAGAGGACCTTTTTCCCTTCTGACTAGTATAAGGGGAAACAAATGGGAGTAGCTCAGGCTCAGAGCAGCTTTCCAAACCAATAAGAAGCTTTTGGAGCACCTTTTGGAGCAGCCACCCTTCATTCCACGGATGCTCTATTGTTTGGCCTTCTTTTTGATTTGCTTTATTCAGCCCTCTGCTGTGAGCGTACTCCTCCATCTGTCACAAGGAGCAGCGAAAGAACACTGTGTTCGTTTGTTTTATCATCAGCATGACAGTTCCATTGTCACAGCCCCGTCTCCTATTTACCACGTGATAGTCCCTGCTTCTAAGTAAAGTTTTCCATCTCATGGGGCTGATTTTCACATCAATCTAAACTGGCTATGGAGTGAGAAACTAATGGAGAATTCTTTGGAACGGCGTGGCAGTTGATGGTTTTGTTGTGGAAAATGGACCTGAACCTGATGCAATTCAGCAGTGTGACAGTTCCATTGGTCCTGCAGTAGGTGGAGCCACAACACCAAATCCAAACATCTGTGCATGTTTTGGGTGTTTTCTTTTAATAAATAATGTTTTTAACTAATCAAACCAAAAATAAAAGACCTAAGAAAACCTGAATGATTACAACATCAGACCTGTGCGTGTCCAGCCTGGTGGGGGACGCTGCAGAGCGCAGCGAGCCGCCGGGTCACATGACTCACCTGGCCCGGAGCAACCGTGGGAGGGCGTCTTAGAGCAGTGTGCAACCTTTCTTTTTTATCTTCCTCTTTTCCATCGGCGTTTTTCTGTTGATCTGTCGCACCAGATCGTAGAAAATCTGCAACGGGGGAAATGAGAGGGTGTTCTGAGCCACTGGAGGAGCTGCCGCTCCAGATGTTCGCCATGACGACTCCAAAATGGCAACCGTGCATGCGTGTTCTTACTCCTAAAACTGGATTGCCGAACTAAAACTGCAGTGACTGATTTTTGGTCTATAAAAACCTAGTGGCTCAGGGGGAAAATACATTTACTGCATGCGTATCTTTGTGTAGAGAGGCGATTTTCCGCCATAAACCAGAGCTATATGAGTCTTCCTCGGTTCTTGTGTAGCGCTCACCTCATTAACGTTGATCTTTGATTTAGCTGAGGTCTCTAAAAAGGCACAGTTGTTCCACTGACGAGCCAGGTTCTGTCCCTGCTCCTTCCCCACCACGCGCTCGTCCTCCAGGTCGCATTTGTTCCCCACCAGGATCATGGGAACCTGAGAGATCAGAGGACCAGGTCAGCCACCCGAGCTTTTAAAAAAAAAAAAACAACAACAGCAGGAGGGTTTCCTGGCAACGGCGCGGGTTACGGGACGGCGTTCTGAGCAGAACCGGTGAGGCAGGCTCCTGCAGCAGCTGGACGCCACGCCTGCTGATAACACACGGCTTATTTGTCTTCCTGCCCAGCCTGCCTTGTTTAATGGCATCGCTGTGGTCAGCTGCTGCTCGTCTGAAGTTTATGGGTAACGTGTGCTAGCCGGGGCGGCCGGAAGCCGGCCCTCATTCCGTCTATCCTGCAAGTATGCCTTGACACAAGGACGGAAACCTCTTTGAACTAACAAAGCTGAGCACCCTCCATTGCTGTGACAATGGGGAATCCCCGCCACCTCGTTATGAAACATACAGGGGGAAAAAAAATAAAAAAGAAAAGGGGCGGAGAGGTTGACAGTAATTCAACCGGTACTGATACTAAAAAGCCACATTTTGTGAATCGTCTGTACAAATTTAGGGGGGAAGTCAGTGTTTTGGGAAACTGAAAGCTTAAATGAAGACACGAGCCAAACTGGCCGAGCGACCTGCCATGAATAAATAAAGAGCACGCTCAGCACGAGGCACATCCTTCCTCTGAAGTAAGACAGAGATCGAAAGAGGCAGATAGCGGTCCACCGACACCTCTGACATTTCCTCGCTGTCGCTTAGCTTCTGCCCCCCCCCCCCCCCTCCAGCTCTGTCCTCTCTCCCCCCGGGGAGATTCTGAACGGGGAGGGCGGGCCCCCGGGGGACCTCCAGCAGATTACAGCAGATTAAGCTGTGATGCTGACATACAACCATGGGGGGGGGGGGGGGGGGGGTTCTGGCTCGGTGAACACTTCCACTCACGTCCTCGGTGTCCTTTACTCGCAGGATCTGCTCCCGGAGGTCCTGCAGGTCATTAAATGTGGACTGTGCCGTGATGGAGTACACCAGGGCAAAGCCTTGTCCGTTCTTCATGTAGAGGTCCCTCATGGCTGTGAATTGCTCCTGGAAAACGACAACAGAGAGGACACGCCGTCAGTGGCCCGCTTTTTGTTTTTTTAAACATCGTCTTCTTTGATGTGACTTACTGTTCCAGCCGTATCCAAGATTTCCAGCATGCACTGCTGCCCGTCAACCTCAACTTGCTGTTGGAGAGGAGCAGAGGGCCACGTTTACACTGAGAACCAGTAGCTTTTTTATTTTTAAACGCTCCATGAGACCATGTAAGGTGCCTTGGGACATACCTTTCTGTAGGAGTCTTCGATGGTGGGGTCATACTTCTCCACAAAAATACCTTGGACAAATTGGACTGTCTGTAAAAGTACAAGAGAGCAAGAGAAGAGTGGATGACTTATTCAGCTTTCCTTACCTTGCATCACATTTTCCAATTTTTCTCCAACATTTACCTTCTGATTTCATCTAATTGGGCTTACACATCTATCTTTAGCTCTTTGCAAAAAGAAAGGCTATTTTTAGTCAGAATGGCAAACATAGTATCTTTAATTTTTATAGACAATTATTTTTGTAATTATGACATGTCCACATTTATTGGGGGGGCTGGAATATCAGGAAAAAGGTCATTTATATTGTTGACTGATGCTTTCTGAATCTTTTCGACTCTTAAATCTGGATCCCATTGAACTAAAGCTTTACGAGGCTGATGTCACGTCTACAAATTCCACAACCTCCAAAAAGTAATTGAAAATCTTAGCTATTTTGGAATTTGCTATTTTTCCTCCTCTAAAGACAAACTCACCAGTGCAGATTTTCCCACGCCCCCTGAACCCAGCACAACCAGCTTGTACTCGCGCATGGTGGGTACCTTCACAGGACAGCACAAGAATCTGAAACAGAGAAGAAACGGTGAGGCGAGACACTAAAGCAGCTTCAGACATTCTCAGTCGCTCTGTGCGTAGCTTCCATGATTACATAACCAAATACTGCTTTGATCATTTGTCATGATGCAAGCCGTTGTGTGATCACCCAAAATGTATCAGAGGGGCTTTTGGAAAAGTTACTGTTGATGTCAGCGCATCGAAACCTCGTTCCTCTGCCAAGAAATGAGCTCTCCTCCCCACCCACTACCGAGGGACTTCAGCTGCCATGAGAATACGGGCGTTGCCTCATGCACAAAAATGAAAAAGTAGACAAAAAAAAAAGGATAAGAGGAACGCGAGAAAATCCTTTTCCGGATAACTGAATGCGTGTTACGTGTAGAAATCAGACTTGGAAGCAATCTGCAGGCCAGAGTTCCAGAGCTGCAAATAACTTCCATCTCATTACGACAAAGAGGAAAAGGGCCACCGAGGATGACCCACCGTCGTCTCCATCAGCCTGACACAGATTACATGGCATGTGTGGCCTAGATTTAATTGGCACTGAGGGGAACTGTCACGGATAAGAAAACCTTCCCAACCAATACTGGAATTAAAATTTTAAGTAGAAATAAGTCTGATCATTTAGCGTTAAAGGGGATCTGGTACATTCAGTGATAAGATAAAGAATGCAAATTATGTTTATGAATGAACAATGAACACCGCCACCATCATGCCCCTCTCTTAACACAAACCTTTCCCGCATGCAGCAGGGTGCTCGTTTGCACTGCTGTGCGTCACCCGTTTATCTATCTTCGCGTTTCTCTGAGAATCAATAAAGCAAGTACGTCTCCATCTATCTGGTAAACCTTATTGTGACGCACAAATGTCAGGTTTGTTTGATGTAGAAATGTCAGAGTGGGGGCCAGACATAGAGTAAACCCTCATTTAAGGACCTCTTTGAATCTACTAATTATACGAGGTCTGTAGGACCTTTGTCACATGCTGAGTAAGACAATACAAAAACCACTCTGTCCCACTCGGCCAGCATTAGCAATTCCAACTATGATGTATGAAGCACCACCAGAAACCCACACTGTGAGACGGGCACACGAGGCCCTCCACAAAGAGCCATTGTGATGGGCCTCCTCTGCTCGAGAGCACCATACAAACAGAAAACAGGGATCAGAAAAGGCAGACACGACAACTACCCTGAAATATCATTACCGTGGCATGGTTGGGGCACGCCTCGAGGAGACGGCAACGCGTGCCTGTTACGTTTGTTGCCCTAAAAATGGGCTTAAGGGGGGGAAAAAATCCCATGATTTAAAATGTAAATGTGTGTGGGTGTCACAGAGTTTCACTGTCTTGATATCAGAGGAAAAACTAAAGCTTTCCCCTGGTTAAATATGAGCCTCGAACAGCAGCAGATAGAAAACTTCACAGGAAAAAAACACAATGTCACATTCATTCCATGAGAACAGCTTCACCTACTGTGTATACAGTTGCTGCTGATGGCAACTCCCTCTACATCTGGGGAAGGAGTGGCCGACAGATCCTGGAGTACACTGATGTCACCGGGTCTGCGGGGCGCGGGGGGTCGGCGGGGAGTCCGAACAGGAGTCAGGCCACGCCACACCGCTCAGGCTACAAGCAGCTCCTAAAGGACACCAATCTAGCATTTATGCAAAACTGGTTGAAATAAAAACAATCCTAGGGCTTACAGCTGATGGGGGGACTGTATTTCTAACACACAAAAAGCTCAGCGGGGGTCTTACAATGATGGAACTCCCATTTTGCAATACATGCCATACATTTTAAATCCTCTCTTGATTACCCCCAACCCCCATGTGACAATGGCTGTCTTTCCCATTAAATCCACAACATCTAGGTCAATAGATGAGGACCAAAAGACAGTCAGTTAAGTATTAGATAAACACCAGGCGTCTTAAAAACCATATGAGGTGGGACGGAATAGTGAAAAACGAAATAGAAACAGTCAGCAAAAGTCACATTTCAGTCACATTTAGAAACACGAGTCACTTTTCGCAACAAATCCTCCACCACTTCCTTAAAAATCCCAAATGCTCAGCGACACAACCGCTAAAAATGGATAGTTTCGCCTATTTATGATACAGATATATACGTGCTGGTCTGAGGCAAATCAGGCCACTAAAACAGCATAGCAGGGGGGGGGGGGGGGGGGGGGGGGGGGGGCAGCGGATTTGAGCTGGGCTCAAATGGGTAAACATGCTTCCCCATGTCGCAACATAAAAGTTTTTTAAAAGTTGTCCACGTTACATAATAACTTTAAACAACACGGAAGCTGCATTCTCGTAAGGTTTACAGCTGCTAATAAAAGTGAAATTGAATCCGTGACAACTTTTGGCGTAGTTGGTTTCGAAAGGAAGGGTGTGGCTATTAGTTTCTCAATCCCACACTTCGTCTCTCAACACAATTTTGTTTAAAATCACCACACGCTATAATTGAGAATTCCCCCGTCAACTAAAAGTGAATTTGCCACAAAGTTGAGGGACTGTACACGTCAAACCAGATAGATTACAAACAACTTCGAAAACTCATTTATTAGCGTACAGCTAGCACATTCAGGCACATGCTAACCGCCGTTGCGGGGTGATAGCCTGGAAAAGATGGGGCGAACAGGGAGACAGGACATCGCGATAACTAAAGTCAGCTTGATCGACAAAACACAAACCTGGCCCAAAGTTTAGCCTTAGCGGCTGCGTGACAACCACCGCACTCCGCTCAACTTGCCTCACGCATCAGGCATCTGTTTAGCTAACACGGGGCGCAAACAAGTTAGCTAACCAGTTAGCATTATAGGCAACTCTCAAAATCTCGTTTTAACCTCAAGCTTTATCTTAGAAATCTATAAGTGCTTGCGCTTGCGAATGGTCAAAACTCTATGCGAGTGAAGAACGCTGGGATGCAATCACACGCAGAATTATTTGAACGGCCACTAATGTTTGTGCCGACACTTCGATGGTTAGTCATTAGCCCCGTTAGCTGTTCAATCAGTCATCTAAGTTAGCCTGTGAGCTAAGCTACTTCACCCACAAGCGCAATTTTTTAACAGTGGGACTGAAAGTAATTAGGGTCTGATGGAAAACGGAGGAATGCTTACAGACTTATAATCAAATCGATACATTTAAACGCTAAATAATCCGCTATCAAATTACACATTCCACTCAGTAGTAACGAGCTCCGTGGGACACTTACCTTGTTCCGCTATGTGTTCGTTAAATGAAGCTGTGGATGTACGGAAGGGTCCAACTGCGGCTGTTGATTGGACCAGGATCAGCCAATCACAGCGATCCAGGTTACAACACAAATAAATGAGTCTGACTTTTGTATTCTGTGTTTCTTTTCCATTATTCAACTAATTGCGCAAAGGATACGGTTACCGAACTTAATTAAATAAATCTCTACGAGTTTAAATTATTCTGTAGTACTAAATCATACTAGGAAAACATGATCAAAGTTCAAGGATGGAATGCTCATTTGATAATTGGGTAATGCCAAATTACATGTTGTTGAGATTCAAAATGGAATAAAGAGCAAGCCAGAGTCACAGCCCAGATTCAGTTTGAAATTATTGTCATCATCTTGTAGGAGTTGGGATTTTTTTCTATATTTTGGTATGTAGTACTGGTTTCTGTTACATAATACCTAACATAAATAGACATAAGATACAACACAAGGCTGCATTAGAAATAGCATTCAGGCCATTCTAAATATTGCTTACATCATTACTTTATGTGTAGATTTAAAATGAACAACTTTAAATGCCTCAAAATGTGAGCAAAATAATGCTTGACATTAAGATTCTTTTTTATGTCAGGTACTTTCTAAAAAAAAAAAGTCAATGGTCATCAAAAGCCTACATAAGACCTAATGTTCCATGCTCTACGTAGATGAGACATACACGTGCAACTTTAAACAAATCATTCTGCTCTGTTTTAAGCGTTTGAAAACATAATTTATCACCAACAGCTTTTTTGCCTCTCCGCTGCACGGCTTGTACTTAAGCGAGTGAAATATAGGAAAAAACTCAACAATCCTGAGAATATTCTTCATAGGTTTTGGTACTTCACTTTGGGAAGATATCGCCTGACATTTTAGAAAATAGAAGACTGTATGGTCATGCTCATTGAGCATCTCAGAAAAAACCTCACGGAAAACTTTCGACTGTTAGACAATCAAGAAGAAAGGTCACAGAAAAGATTATGAAGAGAACAGATTACATTTATAGATGATGTTTCAAGTTGAATCCCAGAGTAAATACAATGATTTATATAATGCATGATGACGCAACATAGACAATCATTTATGTTCAAGTGTTTTTTTTATTTAGGTTTTCAGCAAAGGAGTATCGTTTTAACCAATAGTCCGACAAAACACAACCTCACGCTTGTGGTTCTGTTTATTCTGCTTTTTACATTTTTTTTGTAAAAGTCATTATTTCATCATCTCATAGTCTATAAGATCAAATCTGCTTCATTTTGACTGCTATGCTGATGTTGAGCCACCTTTTTATATTCAAAATCATTGAAACCTTATACTCATTGAATTTTAAGATACATTTGAAAACCAGATCTGTTTTTGTTATTCTCTGTAGATTAATCCTTTTGATAGTGGAGATCTTCTTCCTGTGGTACCAACTGTAGATTACTTTTTCAGATTTGTCCAGTAAAAGACATCCAGGATTTCAGTGGACTAGAATGTGGTCAGAGATCCCTGCTTAGTTCACATCTTATCACCTTTGGTCCCATCAGGTGGGTCACTCAGAGCAAAAGCATCAGCTGAATCAGTAACCTAACATCACATTTGAAATCACTACATTTGGTTAATAAAAAATACACTAAAGATACATGACATTTTAAGTCAAGGAAAACAAAGAAAGAAAAGTGATTTTTGTGTAATTTAGCTTTTTTATTTTTCTGAATTCTTGTTTTGTTTGTTGGATGGTTTGCCTCTCTTTTGTGAAATGAAGCCGTGATGTGCTTTCAATATTTTTTCAAAAGCTTCACACATTTATTGAGTTGAGCCCGCCAGCCGGCGGCCTCTGGCCACGCCCGGCGGATTTGTTGACTTGTCGTGTGCCAAATGTCTTGACAGCTGCCGGATGAGATTCCTCTGACACACAGAAGCAACGTGGCTGTGTCACGCTGCTGTTCAACATTTCCTCTGGCTCGGTAATCCGCCGCTTGTCCGCGTTACCTAACGTGACAAAGACCCACATGAAGAAGTCAGGCAACGCCCAGCGGGCCCCGACGACTTTTGACGACTCCCCAGCTTCTCTGTCATTCTACAGACATTTCCAGTGAGCAAAGACATGTCTGCATCCTCAGAACTTGTCATTAATCTCTTTGGCTTCCCTGAGGTCGTGCTTAAACAGGAACCACATTCTTTATAATCTACTCCCCGCCCATTAAGAAAGAGGATCACAGATTTAAGCGTCATAGTAAGTCTCTCGGACTCATTTCTGAGCTCTAAACATGAAAGTTTATGAGCAGCTTTGCAGAAAATCTGACAGAAGACCCAAGCTCCGAACATCAGTCGCGAAAGAAGTGGGTCCTGATTATCTGGAGCAAGCCAGGAGCCACCAAGCTGCAGGTCTGAAAGCTGTTGCAACACCAGAGTCAGCGTCTGAAGTCGAGCGTGTTCCCCTTCAGAGGCACCAGAAATCAAACCCTTCCAACTTTTGTTCTTATCTTATTCTCGTTTTTTTTTTTTCAAAGTCTGCAGTTATCCCAACAAGAAAGGAAAAGCATGACGCCCTCGTCTGAATTCTTTGGAAGAACTTCTACATCTGCAAGACGGTTGTAACTTGGGCATGCCAATGAGATTAAGGACTCAGTGCTTTTTGTATAGCAGCTAGTGTTCATCTTAGCTAATGAGCTTTCCAATGTTTGACCCCCAATCATGGATACAAATCCTGCCTAATGCATACTAAATTAATGGTCAAGCAAATTTGAAAGAGACATAGGACCATAAATGTAGTGTCCAGCTGACTTCTGATCTGTGACACTGTGATGGTAAACTTGAAAATGTTAAATTTGTATTGGATTTTCTTTGATCTCCTGGTTGGATATGACAGTCACAATAAAAAGAAACAAAAACCTATATGGAATAAAGTTTTTTTTTTAATGATATGGTAAAATTGGATACATAAATAAAATAGATCGAGACACACAAACAACTGACTCTGTTTGTTCCAATTTCTTTCTTTAGCTTTTCATGGTTTGTAAGGTTCAACATCTATGAACATCGCAAGAAAAAGAAGCCCCAGAAAGGGAGAGGGATGGACCATTAACATGTTCCACCTTCAGTCAAAGATCATGCAAACTCCTTAGGTGAGGCTGGTGAAAGGTATACAAAGACGGAAGTGTACAATGCTACTCATTTAATGGTCCTGGCGCTCAGAAAGAGGAATAGGGGATTCTCAGCTATTGGTGCATTATTGGGTGTCTATAAAGAAATCAAGCGTGCTCACAGATGCTGGAATGGAGAGATGAGCTGGGGAAGGTCTTTGGGATTGCAGCTTGTGTGTTTTCCTCCTCGTTTAACATCTCCATGACTGCAGTTGTTTCATGGCTATTGATCCAATCCTGGAGAATGTTTGGCTGATGACACACCGGATTAATTTGCGATGATTCAGCCGTCTGAGCGGTCAGATGAGAGGGCAGGTGTGGGATGCCGAGGGCTTTGGGGCCTGAAAACAGAGCTCACAGTGGGACCAGAAGCTCATCTGTGTTAGGATGAGGCAAGCTGCTCTTCTTGACGTTGAGCTAATCTGGAGGAAAACGGAACGTGGTTTCTTATACTGTATATTCATGAGGCAGGGTTTCTGTACGGTAATGGGGAGGCCTCAGAGAGATGAGAATCAATGCCTGAAGTTATCCAAAAGTCGCCTCAGATAAAGGGCTTACAGACTTTCGTTCTGCCTGATCCACCTTTGAATCCAGTTGTTCCACAAAGGTTTTTTCTTAACAATACAGGATACCAACAGAGGGGATTATGTAAGAGTGGTGCACTGGTAGTCATGATCCTGCTAGAAAAGCTCCCTCTTGTGTGAACAGTTGTGCATTATTTAGTTTTGCAAATGAGTTTCACAGAGTATTGGAATGATGATGTCTATCTTAAAGATTTGACCTTAAAACATGTATAATTGATCATTTTAAAAAGTCTCATGCATATTTGAGTTTCCAGGTATTTCCCTGCAGTTTCCTATCAAATGTCTCTCAGTGTTGGTCGTGTTTTGGCTCCCTCTGCTGGTTTTGGGAAGGCCAGAAAGAAAATGAAGGGAATTCACTGAGTTCTTTAAAAAGTTATTTTTAAATGTCCACATGTGTGTTACAGGGCACGGCAGACCTGCTGAACACAACATATATTTATCTTCATTTTAGGAACCTCTTTATTCACCAAGCTTCACTCCCAGCTGTGACAGAAGAAGGATAAGTCATTTATTGTTGTGGAGGACATGCTGGGGTTTCATTCCACCAAGAGAAAGGACCAGACATTTCCATAGAACAAACGAGCTTTATTCCACAATAGAAACTTGTAACATCTTCACCATCACCGAGTCCTTCCCTCTGTATCGTATGCCGAGTTACATCCTGTGGATCTGCCTGTTAGCAGCGTGTTTTTATTTTATTTTCCTTCTTTTTTTCTTTTTTTTTTCTTCACCCTGCTCCGGAGGGTCTCCACAGCCGTAACCCACCCGCGGCTTTCTGTACATCACACCACCATCGCAAAAAAAAAAAAAAAAAAAAACACAACTCAGCAGAGATCAAGCCATTTAGGTCAGTTCTGACGAAAAAACAAAAAAACAACCAAAAAATTATTGCTCAGATAAATAAATCTATTCTACAAAAGAGGGCGATAATTATATTAAGATGCAGGTACTAAACACTGGATTTTAAAGAAACAAAAAAAGACTGCAACGGCGAAGTTGCAGATTTTTTTCAGGTGGGTGAATTCCAAAACTTCTGTCCCTGTAGCTCAGATTTTCTGATTCAACATGCAAAAGGTTCCAAAGGAGAACGTCGTATCCCTTAACTCTCTTTACTTTGGGTATCGTGGTGTAAGACTCCTTTGCGCTGATGAAACTGTATCCCATGCAGCACTCACGTCCTGTCCCCCCCCCCCCCCCCCCCCCGTTTAGACAACCACAAACATTTCATAAGAAGAAGAAATATATATAATATATATATATTTATATATATATGTAAAAATACAAAAAAATAACTAACATTATAGTTTTGGACAACAAGTCAAAGAGGAGATAGCACCGTTGTTACAAAAGGGTTTGACAGATGGGACGGGGAGTGGGGGGGGTGGGGAGGATCAGTGAAACATCCAGGCTCGACGCTCCAGTAACGGACTGAGGGCGAGGACCAGAAAAAAAAAGGAAAGAAAAAAAAAGCACGCCGCTGGCCCTTCACTTTCTCACGTGTCCGCCGTTCAGTGTACATGTGACACAAATGTAGTCCTCCTTTTCCGCCATCTCCGCCGTGACCCCGACGCACACCTGGTGAAACCACTGGTTACAGCTGCCGTCGCACTGGACCCAGTCCACCTGCGGACACACGCCCCCAAATGAAGCAAAAGAAAGAACTGATGGAGCTGGACCAAGAAATTCACATGTATAAAAACTTGCTGTATTCAGATAAGTTCATTTAATTGGACAAGTTGCTAAAAATAAATAGTGTCCAAAATATTCCTTATTTTTTTGTTGTGCTGAGGGGCTTCCTGACTTTGATTTGACTGTAATCTGGTTCTATCTGGCAGCAAAGTATGGTTCCTGGTGTGTAAATCCGAGACTGACTGAATTCCAGTTGTTCTGACACCTCTGGCTCTCTTCTCACCTCGTCTCCTTCTGGCAGCTGACAGCTCTCTGCCGGGCAAACGGCCATCTCCTCCTCAGAATCGTCCGACTGGGAGAAGTCAGAGCGCGGTGAGGACGAGGTGGAGGCTGCCCTGCGCTGGGGCTTCTTCTTATTCATCCTCTGTCTTTTGTGAGAGTGCTTTTTGTCCTTCACGCGGCGCTCGGCATCTGACCCCTCCCTCTCATGATGCCTCTTTGCTTTTCTCTCCGACCCGGCCACGGGTTCCCTGGTGCCGCCGGTGCCGTCCTGCAATAGCAAATGACCGTGATGAAACTGAGAGAGCTTTGGAGATCTGAATGTGCTTCGCTCTGTTTAGCAGCTTTTAACCTGGTTCAGTGGCAGATTTGTTCCCTGAGAGATGAACGTCATGTGTTTGTCAGAGTCTGTGTCCTCCTCCGGTGGTGGCGACGGGCATCTGTTTGTGTGCTGGCTGCTGGCTCTGTCCAGCAGGACGTGGTAGAGGCTCTGGACCTGAGGCAGAGAGACCTGCAGCAGGAGGCCCTCCACCATAAGCTCCTCCAGCTCCGGACTCAAGCCTGCCACACACACATGAAAGCATCGGTAAAAAGCATCGGTAACCCCGCCCCGGGCCTTAGAAACGGGCGCCGTGACGACACTGACCCTGCAGCGGGATGCATCTCTGCTCGGTGTAGAAGACGGTCTGAGCATGGCTTGTCCTATTCCATTCTGGTGTCAAACATGGTGCCTGTGTGCAAAACAAAAGGATCCCAAATCAACACCTGCAAGAAGCTTCTTGTGAGAGAGAAATAAAAATAAAAAAAACAATGCTCCAGAAGAATGACCTGAGCGTTGTTGTGGGCGTTGTCGCAGCCGGACACCCAGTGGGTCAGTGTGGGCGGAGTGCCCGGTCTCTCCTCTAGTTCTGGGAGGTTGCAGGACTGTAAAAGCTGCTGCGCCCGCTGCTGCCAGTTCAGTGTCCTTTCCACCAAATAGTTGAGGGCCTCGCCCTCTGGAAGACGCACGTCTGTGCACCGCAGGGACGCCAGCAGGGACAGGGCTTTGCTGAGCGGGGGCTTTTCCGCTCGCTGGCAGTGCGGGCAGAGCCACGGCGGCGTCTCGCTGGAGTCCAGCGGATCTCTGGCACACACGCTGTGGAAGGCGTCCCTGCAGAGCTCGCACTGCAGCATGGCGCCCATGGGAGCCTTCTGACAGAAGCACACCTTCAGGTCCATGCAGTCCGCTGTGGGGAGGAGCTTTGACTCGTTGGCTGCCCTGAGATTTGAGAAAGTTTCCATTTCCCTCACACGCAGCTCCTCCAGAGTTGCTTTCTGGAGAAAAAAAATGTAATAAAAAAATGCAGACAGTCAATACATCCCCATTATGTAAAGGCTGAGAAGTCCCAGAAATCCCATCCACAATGTAATTTCTCATTAAGTGTGAGAGAAAATGTTCTCTTAGGAAGATTCAGACCCTTCTATTCTACCTTTATTTCTTTAAGGACAGAACATTTGCTTTTTTATTTGCTCTAATGCTGTCAGAAACACCTCATCCCAGTCCAAAATGGAAAAAAGTCAAAGCAAAAGGAGAAACTTGACTTGGATCTATAACCAGTTCGTTGCTTGTTTTCTTGAGAAAATAGAAATATGAATAACTCAGCACATGTCTGTGTTGGAGGTTTCTCAGTCAGCATAACCTTAGCTATGCAGTAAGGAATCATGCATCCTAACAACTTTACATCAAAGCTTAACTATCATTCCAAATGAGCAGATTTCAATTTGACTGTGACTATTCTATCATCCTAAAATCTGTTCAAACACTTTGACTCGTGTCTTTATGAGTCATCGTACTCACTGCAGAGGTAGAATCTTTGCTCTCGGAGAGCTCTTTTTCCACATCTGCCAGAGTGTTGAGCCGCGCCGTTTTCTTTTTGTTGATTTTCGGCAACTCTTTCCCTTTCTTCACCTTCCTCTTTGAAGAACCTGAATTTCCAGCATCCAATCTTGGACACAATACCTTTGATGACAAAGAAAAAAACAAAAAACAAAGACATATTTAAGGCTAATGGGACTAGAAGGAATGATAAGTCAGCTCTTCTTTGCATTAAGCATGAAAATATAATAACATGTCATTTAAAATATAAAGATATGCCTATATTCATTTTGAAATTACTGGAGCTCTGACACAAAAAGCCTAACACATCAAATCCACTCATAACACCTATAGAAAAACATGAAAAATCTTTATTCAAATAAAAAGTAACTACGACATTGATGACCTGATCAAGTATAGTGTCAAATCTGGATGGAGCCTTTGGATCCAGATGTCAAAAGTATGAAATAGATTGAACCGGAAGACGCATCAACGTATCAATGCTCCTTTCAAATTTGGGAGACTTTACCTCTAGTAAGGTAAGAGCTGAATCTTTATCCAGGAAAGTTTCTGCTGCAGATTCCTTCCATTTCTGCACATCCACCATTAAAGACTCCAGTCTGTCCAAAGGCTCCAGGTGGACTTGGATGGCTTGTCCTCGTAACACCATGTCGGACAGGCTGTCCACCCTCAGCGTGCAGCCGCTGGCCTGAAATGAAAGGATCATGTCGGTGTCAAAGTTTGCTATCGGATCAAACAATCATACATTTTCTGCTGCGTTGTTTCCATGGGTTCAGTTTGGTCCATCCTGACCTGAAGCTCCTCGGCCTCCTGAAGCCACTCCCGTGCTTTTCTTATGGTGTCTTTCAGGAGAAGGCAGTTGGGGAGGTAAGCCGAAATTCCAGATGTCTTCTCAGCAGCTGCGCTCAGGGTCTCTATGGAGTGTGGTGGTCTGGAGGGCAGCAAAAAACAAAAAAAGTGATAAACATGACCTCTGAAGGATTGCATCAATTCAGTGCTCCCTAAAAGCTGTCCACACAGTTAAAAGACTTTTGACCACAATGTAATCTTTCTGAATATCTAACAATATCTGACGAAGAAATTAAAATAAAACTGTATACACATACAAGTATGATTCAGCATATTCAATCTGTTTAAGAAATACTCCTCAACCAATCATCTAAAATGACAACTGGCACTTTTTTCCGAAGCCTGTACTCTGAAACTCTGAATGAAGAGAAAAGGAAACATTTTAAGTTTAAGTTAAGTTTAGATATTTGAGTCCTGACTTGAGATTAGTTGGTCTGATCATGGAGAGAAGTGTAGCAAATCCCTGACAGCCATGCCATTAAAAGCTTTTACAAAGCACTGATGACAGATACTAGTGGACAGCACTGAGTACCAATGAAACAAGAGCAGAACTAAATATGATGCTCACTTTTTGTTGGTCATGTTGAATATTCTAGCAGCAGCATTTTGCACTAGCTGTAATTAAAATGAAGCAAAAATCAGGAGCACTGAGGTAGAATTACACATTTCAGTTACAATCAGTGCAAATAGCTGGACAGGACGTTGAAGCTGAGACACAACATTACATTTTACACATTGCCTTTGTCTTTGGATTGACGAGGGCCGACTGACGCCTGTTCTTGCGGTTGTTTTGGCATGTTTGGATGATCCTTCATCTGGTTTAGCTGCAGAAAACCTAGTGGACCAGTCAGTGCTCCCTCACCTGGCCTTAAGGAGATTGCTCGCCTTGTCCTCCCACTGCTCGGACATGGTGAGCTGTTCTTGAAGGCGAGCCATGGCTTTTTCCACTGACGGGTGAGGCTCCAGTCCCACTCCCTGGTCAATCAGCCTCCTCATGGTCTCCAGGGTGAGGGTGGCAGGCTGGGCGCTGGCCTGCTGGACGCCCTCCAGCCAGCGTGCTTGCTCCAGCCTAACTCTGAGCTGAGGCAGCTCCGGTAAATCCACGTCAAAGTCAAAGCTGACATCCAACAGGCTCTGGATCTCCGCTACGCTCGGAGCTTCTTCCCCCAGGACTTTCTCACTGTGCTGCTGGAAGTCTTCGATTCGGTTCAGAAGTTCCTGAAAACAATGTTTGAGCACAAAACAAATAAAAAAAACTATGCTTTTCCTGTTACCGCTTCCGTGCATGCTAATCCCTGCCGTGGGCTGTGGCTGATTCAGACGTTTCACCTTGAGCTGGATTCTACTTTATTAGCACAGAACTTTTCTTCCACCGCTTACTTTCAACAGGGGCGCCTGAGGGAGGCTGCAGGACAGGTTATAAAGCTGCCTCACAAACGAGCTGAGCTCCTCCACCGTCAGCTGGCTCCGCGACTTCCCACTGCCACATCGATACCTGCGGTGAGGACAACATTCGCCCCATTAATACCATTAACGGTAACAATTCTGTCGTCTCTGCGTCTCTTGGTCGGGTTTTGAACGCCACCTGGTCTGCTTCTTGCCGTTCAGAAGCTGCTGGGCCACGGAGGCACACTTCTCGGCGTCCTGGGTGACGAGACGCAGCCGGCGCAGCAGGTCGTTGTCGGGGAACAGGTTGGATTCTGACTCAGAGAGAAGCGAGCGAAAGACTGGCAGGCCTGGGGAGAGAACGCCTCGTTAGTGCCAGTCTGACATGAAAAGAAAAACACTTAAGGAGCACTCGACTGAGCAGCTGGGCATGTCAACCTGACTTTGGTGATTGGTGTTTTTTCTGCATGTAAAACTGCATTAGCGTCTACCAGTTCTCAATTCAGATCCAAGAACACTCCCAAAAAATTAAACACAAAAAAAGAGCTTTGAGCAAAGCCTCAGAATTTTCAAAGATCTAAAAATGAAAGAAAAAACTGGAACACCAAGCAGGTTGGGTAAGTCACCTGCTTGCAAAATAACCTTTGATTTCTGATTTGTTCAAAGGTTATTTCTTTTTAACACATGTTAAGCACTAAAATCATTTTATTTTTAGAATTCATACTAGCTAAAACATTACCACTTTAAGAAATGTATAATGAATTACTGACACTGCGGGTTACTCCAGTTAACAATGAACATGTTAAACTATTGGTGGAATGGTCCTTTAAAGGGTGACCATCTCACAGAAAAAAGAAAAGACAGCCTCCAGACCCTAATCTCCCCATGTCTTTAAGTATTAATGTGTTCACTGTACGTCAGAGCAATTAGTGTTGCTCCAGCTAGCTAAAAGAGGTAGAGAGAGACTTGGACAGAGCTGTACTTTTTCTGTTGTTTTATTTGTTACTGTAAGTTCTCAGGCAGCTCTCTTGAATGGTTATAACCTATAACCGGTCAATGATTATTGAACGTAATTGGTTTCTAAAATGTATATAGCTGAAAGCTGTAGGACCAAGGAGCTGGAAAGACCTGGTTGAAAAAGCTGTTGTGCGTGTATTTTCACATCCATGCCACAGGCCTTTAAGACCCCGTGAACTGCATTAACCTGTGAAAAACTGACCAAAAGGTGTCTGTCAGAAAAAGAAAGGAAAAAAGAACTTGATGCTGCACACCTTTCTTCTTTTCCAGTTTAGCCTCTAAAGTCTCCGTGACGCGAGAGGCCCATGCGTCGTACAGCTGAGCTCGCTGCTTCACGGCGCCCATCATGGGGATTAGGTCATCCAGTGTGTGTCTGAAACTGCACAGAAGAAAATGTCGGACAAACAAAACACGGAGATCTCACACCCACAAAAGGATCGGGAGAATGTGTCCTTCCCTCTGAGCCCACGCAGCCCCTTACTTCAGTGTGTAGTTGCTGACGGGGCAGGAGCAGAGGTCACTGATGTGGTGCAGACACACCAGGACTCCGGGGCTACAGGGGCAGGTGATGGCCGACAGGTAGCAGGTGGTCCTGCACTTGGCACACTGCCGCTCGTCATCCTGGAGGTGGTCGTACTTTGCTTCTTTGCAGTGCACCACGCCCTAGAGGTGTAATCACAAAACAAATGGCTTAAAACCCGACTCAGCTAGAAGGTGACGGGGTGTCTGCTCGTGCTGCATTCCACATTTGACCAGAAAATCTTTAGAACACCCAAAATCCACCGTTACGGTAAAGCCCCACATCATTCCCGTTTTTCCCCAGAGATGTCATTTGCAGGTGCGTTAAAAGGAAACTGATGGGCGTTGTACCATTTTCTTCACTTTGTCCCGTTGCTTCTTTTCGTCTTGGATCATGAGGACCATGTCTCTGTGGACAGCCGAGGCCAGGACCACGTTGAGCGTGTCGGCTTTCGTGGCCATGTTGCACACCATCTCGTCGTGCGAGAACACGTTGTACCGGTGCAGCATGCGGTAGTGGTCCACGCACTGCCTGCCAAGGGGCATCTGCCAAGGGGGAGGGGAAATGAACGGGTTCAGACAGCGGAGTATCTTTCTTTTTTTAAAACTGCGACTGAGTCAAAAGGGATGGGCTTTCAGTGAGAGAGTGCAAGCAGACGTTTCAAACCAACTTCCAAAAATGTCTGAATTAAAATTGATCAAACAACTATTTATGCAATATTAAACTGACTACATGTTGGTTTTGGGCTCTTGGAACAAATGAATGTAATATAAAAGTTCAATATTCTGAGGTTTATGGTAACAACCCGTGTAAAGTCATCCATACCCAGTCTACAGTGCAGAAGTTGACCGCCTCAGCAAAGTTAAAGCCCTGGTTGAAGCCACTGTGGTAGGCCCTGGGGAACGTGATGACAAACTCGCCGGCACACTGGTTTGTTCTGTAAATCTGAAACAGACAGTCGGTCCCATTCATTTAACATGCCAGCTGAGCGGGTGTGGTGAGAGCAGCTGCGGGGGCACGTACCGGGACTCCGTGGGCCATCAGGGTGTTGGGGTTCATGATGGTGACCAGCTGGTGCAGCAGGTCGGGCTGGGACTCAAACAGCTCCGGGGCCAGTTTCTTCATCACCTCCTCCAGTTGCTCGGCAGCAAAACCAGGAGCGCCATACCAGGTTTTAGGCTCCCCCCTTGAGGTTAGTAGAACACACAAGGGTCAGCCTCACGGCTCTGATATTGGTCTTATTTTCTGGCAGGAGAATCGCTGTGGTTGAAATGCTGCGACCACGGGCAGGCAGGTGGAAATTAGTGATCTGGCCTCACCAGTGCAGGTAGTTGATGGAGTAGCTCCAGTGATCCTCAATGTGCCAGCAGAAGGAGGAGAAGCACATGCCAACATAAAGCCACGGCAGTGTCATCCCACAGATGTCAGCTGTCACGTGAGTCAGCACTGACGGGTTCATCATAGCCAGGTTGTTGAGGTTCCAGCCACATTTGAGGTATTTCTGCAAGAGGAAGGACACTCAGACCGTTGCAGGATAAAAGGCGTTTCAATTGCTAAACAGCGACAGGACAAGGCTTGGGGGAATTGTTTTTAGAAGGTACCTCATCTGCTGGGGAGACCTTAAACCTTCCATTCGGAATGGGGAATCCACTTCCAAATTCCTTTGAGGCAATATCTGCTCCATACTCTACAGTGACGTCCTCATCAATTGCTCCCACCAAACGCCAGAACTCTTTCTCTACCAGTTCTGTGGGTACCATCTGTATAAAAAATAAAACACAAATCTCACTTCAGTTAATATACAGAGTGCAAGATAGTCTAATAAGTTTGGGTTAAAACCTATATCACTCACATGAACTGGCATGTTGAAGTAATCCGATTTGAAAGCGTCCGCCATTTGGCCAAACGCACGCAGAGAGTAGTCCCTGTATGCCTGTTCAAACCCGAACGCCTCGTGAGGCTTGTTGCATTCCTGCGGGTTGCATTAAAAACTGGTTTCACGTTTACGGTAAACATATTATGCAGGAGCATAAGAGCTCTAACTAACATTTCTGCTTCAGTTCCACTTCATACTTCTGTGCAGCTTTGAAAAATTGGACCGTAATGAAGAATATGTTTATGTTTATGCATTTAGCAGACGCTTTTATCCAAGGTGACTTACAAACTAGACACAATGTTACAGTTATCCTCAATTTGACAATATATACACAATACACACACACACACATACATATATATATGCACACATACACACAATATATACAGGTCAAAGGTCTTGATCCTCACAAGACCATTAAAAGTTTAATCTATTCTGTCCTGACCTGAGAGCACACTTCCAGCCTACCCTGACAGAAAACTGAAGTATGAATTGTGTGGTCAGCACTGAGCACAGCCTGATGCCACGTTTGATCACGCCTGCAGGTCTCGATAGCACAAACACTCCGCACCAAAATGCCAAAGTATCAACTGTAATTTAGAGATAGCCTCGCCTGCTAAACACAGAGATAACAGCCTACTCCCTTTGTTCACCATGAAACTGAAACTAACCACCCTTGTTAAATATTTTATTTGCTTACAAAGCCTTCCTTTTTTTTCTCTTCTCATTTCAAAATGGGCCACTGTGGGATGATTCTGACATGTGCCTCAGGTTAGAACAGGTTACCTATGTGACTAACTACAAAGCTATCATCATCAGATGATAGTCTGATAATGATAAAAAATAAATAAAAAGCTAAAGTTGAATACTCTTAGAGGTTTGACGTGAAAACATTAAACTAAAAATACGCTCATGTTCCCTTTGAATGATCAATAATTAACAGGCGTCAGACTTTAAACAGATTTTGTTGTTTATCATCACCTGAGCCAGACACTTGGGGCACCTCCAGTCCCCTCGGGGGACGTCGTGCAGAGGGGGAATCAGGCAGAAGGTGTGGTAGCTGTCATCGCAGCCGTCGCACAGCAACAGACGGTCTTCATCCCCACCACTGCCACACACCAGACACACAACCAGATCCACCTGAACAACAGAGGGAAGATGTTACACAGAGAGCAGAAACGACTGAAAAAACAGAGTAAAGATAGAAATTAGGAGAGGCTAGCTTTATATGAATTGGTCAAGTCTTATCTAGGAAAATATCTGTTTTGTCAAACTTTTCTCCTTAATATTCCTTCTACTCATGCGACAATTACTTGCTGGAAATGTCATGTTTCACCTGGTTTGTTTAGAATCATTAAAAACTAAATCTTTAATGCACAGAGAATACAACAGCTGTCTAACAACAGCTCTGTTTGAGCTGCATCTGACACATCTCATACAGAAATAAAGCAGCCAAATGGTGGAAAGAAGAAGTCTCTACTAACCGGACTGGGAGGAATGGGAGGAAGCATCTTCTTGTACCGTGACTTGGACTTCTCAGCTTCAATTATCGGCTCCTTAATTTCAACCGATTCCTGTTTCACTGGAATGGGGATCAGTTTTTCTGTAAGACAAAAGCAGGGGTTTTGCTTAACAGGCATCATCACTTCATATAATTTATAACCTTTTTCTTGAAATAAAAAAACTTTTTTTCTATGCTGATATGAGGACCTCATATCATACAGATGTGTGTGAGTCACACCATCATTTATTACCCATCAACCTGTCACTTCCCACCACAGTACTGCTAATTTCTGCTTTGATTCCAATTTCTAATGAGCCATAAATAATTTGTCAATGTTGATTTTAGTGGATGAGAACGGGGACAGTCAGAGGACCAGCTGTTAATGTAATGATAGTAGCTGATCTGGGCTGAGGATTCTGACCTGGTTCTGGCTTGATGACAAAAGAGCCCATCCTCCGCCGGAGGTTCGGCTTGCTCTCGCCCGTCTCACCTGGCTCGATTTTCACACAGGTGGCCTGCCAGAAAAACGAGAAGTGAAACCGGTGGCAACTTCAAATACCCAAAACTGTCGCAATGGGGAGGGGTTGTGGTAAGAGTCTGTGTATGCTGGGTGGAGGAGGGGGGGTGGGGGCTCACACCTCGCACTTCATGCGCTTGGCTCTGCGAGCGCTGGGGCAGGCCTCGGGCGTCGGGGCAGGCTGCCTGGGAACCTGGTCCTGCAGCTTGTGCTCCTTGTCCTCAGCGGTCTCCGACGGCTGGACGGGCTTCTGAACACACTGAGGGACACAGAGAGACAGTTAAAAAAGAAAACGGCCGCTTATTGAAGTGCACAAGTGCGCCTCATTGGAAATACCTGAAAACACAGAGGAAGTTATGAGGAATATGTCAACCGAGGATTTCTTTCAGTATGAGGTTGCTAACATAAGACGGGTTGGAATCAGGGCCCTTTAAGCATTGAAAGAGGAAGACTTGGATCGTCTCTACAGGGAGCTGAAATTATATCTCTACAGAAAGCACAGAAATGTCCTCCAAAATATGTCTGAAAGAAGTACGTGGCGTGACTATCCGATTATTTGGTACTGCAAAGAAAAGACCGTGTGAAAAATGTGGTTAGTTAAGAGGCTGTCACCACCACTAACATGGGGTAAAGAAGCATGACGAATAAATAAGGACAGACTAAAATTGTAAATGTAACAACTTTCCTGTGATTTTCTTGCTCATTTAATAACAGAGTTGGGTCTCTGTGCACAAAACCTGGTCAAAACTGCAGACACTTGGGAAGAAGCCAAAGCTATAAAACACAAACTTCCCCACATCAACTGACTTTTCTGCATTGGACTGATTTTTGTGTGGTATTGATAAAAAACTGGCTATAATAGTTTTTACTTTTACCTGCATGATGTAACAAATAAATACATTCTGAAATGACTGAAATAAACGCACTCTAAGATGATTTAAAGTCCTGGTCATATGTCTGCACATGCAGCCCCATTAAGCTGGACTCACACCAGGATGCTCAGCCACAGATGAACATGCATTTTGTTAATTGTGAGGCCGAGCGGCTGCTTGATTGTAACGCAAACATACCTTTTCAAATTCAGGATCAGCCTCCAAACGCATCAGTTTGGAAGCTGGATCTGGTGCCTGAGATAAGAGAGAGCTTTGGTAATTACAGAATTTAGAGTGACCTGTTCAAGAGGCCACACAAAACCAATTTGGTGATGTTGGATAAGCTCTCTTGTTATGAAACTTCACAATGCAAATGCAATTAATTGAAACGGCATGACATTACGAGATAAAAATGACACTCAGATTGTAGTCAGACCAACAGACATGACATACAAATAACCACTGATCTCCCATTAAAACACAAGTGGAAGTTGCCGAACATGCAGAGATCTTTCACAAGACTCCTTGAACAAATCAAAGATTTGCCAGTCATTTGTGACAGCATTATTAGCATTAACCACATTACTAGATGTGCAGCTGACTGGCAGATAAATGCAACTCACCAGCAGGTTAGCTCCGCTCAGAAACAGATTGTAGGGATAGAGGATCCTCTCATAATGCCCCCGCAGGTGTGAGCCGACGGCTTTGCCAGGCGCGAAGCCCATTTGTAGAGCAATCTTGGTCCAATGCCGCTCCTGACAGACAATATCGAACCCCCCCTTGTCTGCCACCAGCTGGAACAACAAGGAGTCACGTCAACATTGTTAGATGCTAATTTCTAGCTTTAGCTAAAAATGAATACACAAAAAAGAAAAAAAGCAGGGTGTGTATGAATCAACCTTATTTAGCTTATATAAATCCAAAATCTTCCTCTCCACGTGTGGAATTTTCAGGGCACATCCCTGCAAATCCCAAAATTTAGCAATCTGGTCCAAAAAGTTGAGCTTGACTCTAGTCTGGGCCTGAAAAAAAGGTGGAAGCAATGAAAACCATGCAGGAAAACATTTTTTTTTGTCATTTTAGCAATAAGAAACTTAAATAATATTGTCCATGTTAACAGAATAATCCAACAATGCATTAATAACACTCCTCCTTGTGTCCTAGTAGCTTGTGATGTAATATAAGCACAGTCCTAGTGGCCATATAAAGGAGGTTCAAAACAGTTCCGTTTTGAAAATAAATATTCAAAATATATTCAAATATGAGCTAACATAGTCAGTTGATACTCACCTCCAGTTCATTGAGCCTCTGGATCCGAGGAACGAAGTGAAGTTTGTCAACATCACATGCAAATGGTGGCTGCCAATCCTGAACAGAAACAATAGAAGCCAATAACGAAACATGAAGGTCGCGTCTCATGTAGTGCACCTAGCTTTTTATGAACTCATAACGACTTCCATTACACTTTACAAGTAGGCCAAATGTTTCTTTCCTTTTGAAAAATTTTCCCTGTGGTCATTTTTCGCCGATTTCTGAAAGAATGAAACCGGTTCAAACATGGTGCCTGAGTTTAGGTAACTTTACAGAGCTGGAACATTTGGCAACATGGTTGCTGGCTCGCAAACTGACGTCCGACTGAGATTTAACTGTGAAGCCAGGCCTGCTGATACAGCACGGACACAGTCCTCCCTGTTTTTTTGGTTTGCAACTCATAGCACCAATCAATGATCATGGGAACACAAAAGCTCGGGCCCGTATTTACAATGGACAAAAAAAAACACTGAGAAAACATACGAGCAGGGCCTCAAGATGTTGTTTCAAGTAGCCAACATCCCCCACTGACACACAAAATGGCCAGATGGAAGACTCACTCACTAGCCCAGCTTACCACAAAGCCAACATGGAGGACAACACCCTTCAACACAGGCTCATACATGAACAGTGGCTGATTGTGAAAAAGCTTTATCACCATGCACCAAAACTAGAATCTTGTGTAACATGGCAGATATAACCACAAGTTCACCCCCCTACCCCCCCCCCCCCAAAAAAAAAATGGTTCTTCCATTTTGGGATAATTACTTTTTTTGGTTTCAATACTGGCCAAATCATATCACCTTTTAGCATGATTGGACATATTATAAAGTCTGATTGCAGCTCGTTTGATAAATCTACTCTTCTCCTGATGCTTTTTTTAGGGGGGGGAGTGATCAAACGGTGATGGCCCACGCATTCGCTGACCCAACTGCTTCTGGATGCTGCTCCACAAATAATCTTTAATTCATGTCACCTTCAGAGCTCCCCGGACATTCGGGTTACGAGCAAGGGCTGACACGGCTAATGCGTGGCGTTAGATGGATTTCCTAGCCATCATCTTCCTCAACTTGTCGGAGGCTGAACGGCTTCCGCATTGCCACTCATGTCAAAGCCGTGTGCCACATTATGACAGGTTGCTGGGGTGAGCTGCTAGCCGCTGCTAGCCTGCTAGCTGCGAGCCTCACTGACCGGGACCGCCGCGGCTTTGTTGACACACGGTCAACCCCGCGACCAATACACCCTTTAAATTCCCCCGTGGCGTCGACGTGACCGCCAGCGGGGTTAAAGCGGGTCGAATTGAGGCCGAATTAGAGACACAGAAATTTGGAGGTGGCTCGCGGTGGCAGCACAAAGAATGAACACAGCCGCGCATCCGCCATGTTGAACTAGTCCCTTTAAATCCCAGCGCTCGGTCCAATCTACAGCCGAACATATTCAGCATCCTCTCAGGCGGTGGTTTTTTTATTTATTTAAAAAAAGGAATTCTTTGCACTCACCGGAGGAGGACGGACTTTGCAAATCCCCGTTTTCTCAGCGATGGGACGGATCTTATTGATAAAAGCATAAGGATCTCGAAATTCTTCCCAGCTGGGCTCGAAGACCGGGCACTCCGGAGGAGGCTTGAATTCGTCCGGACGAGGCTGGTTCATCGCTTCGACCCGGTTGAAGCTCGGACCCGACATGTCAGCGCTCGTTCCGGCGTGTTATGGTTTCACTGGGGGTGTTTTAAAAACAGTTTTAGGCCGTCTATTCGCCGTCAGAGTCGGTTGCTACTAGTCGACATCAACACGACAGGAGGCAGATTACACACACATAGCCTACACACATACACACATCCACGCACAGTGAGGGGAATGTTCCAAGGCAGTGAGCACGTCCGCCCAAGAAACTAGACACCGCACGGTTCTTATAAAACCCTGTGAGATACGTCAGTTTCCTCTAGGGTTTTTTTTTTCCTCAAATAAGAATTTTACACGGTAACAACTGCTATATAGGCTTTCCATTCATTCGTGTAACAAATCAGCTATAATCATATTCAGGGTTACAACATGTCTTTCCATTTTTGACTTCCAAGTCGTCATTCTTTATAACTAGAATGACTAGAATGCAGCTTTTACTCTTAGAGCATGGCACAGTTCAGATTATTTAAACTGTTGGGGCCATTTCTCATCCCCTTTGGCCCAATGTTCTACCAGAGGTGTGCTATTTATTCATAATGCAACAGCCAGACCTAGAATTCATAAATAGACAATGCATTGTTAAATATTATTCCCCAAAAATCAAATGTTGTAGGCCTACTTCCCATAATTACAATAGCATTTAAAAGGTTATGGTTACGATCAAGGTACAAAGTCGTCCAAAAGAGGGAATCTACTGTATTTCTATTTCTATTTATTTAGGACACACTGCTTTCTTTTTGTTCTGTACATGAGCAGTTGCTCCACCAGTAATGAGTGGTAATGTGGTCATTTCCTCTGCAAAACAGTTCTAACATCTAATTCTCCATTTAACACATGAAGACAAATATATAACAGAATATATATTTGCTCTATAAAGCTGGTCCAAGTCACATCATGTTCCATTGTTTCTGTGGTGATAACAAAGTGTATTGTTTTAAATGTTAGAGACAGATAAATGTATGTACAAATGTATCAGTACATTTATGTTGCGTCATTTGTGTCATCTTTTATTAGATTGTAATTATAATGTTTCTAAACATTTTTTACACTGATAAAACCCGCACTATAGTGTAAATCTGATTACTCTGGATGTTTCTCTATTTTCTGTTAACATTTACATACCATTTTCATCTCTATTCGCCCCTGTTTCTTTCTTAGACTCTTTATAATGAGCACATGACTAAGAGTCCCATTTAGGTGTTTGCATTTGTGCTGCATTATAATTAAAAAACAACATTGTTGCTTGATTATTCCAAAAGCAGACAATCATGACAACATGCTCTCTCTCACTGTTTGTAGGAGGACCAGCTCTAAGCAGGCCATATCAGAAAATCTATGTAGAGCACCAAACATGGTTTCTGATTCTTTCCACACCCCCATCAGCCCACAAGAGGTGGCACCTGGCTCTGGGTAACACCACCTGGTATTACTGAGTCCTGCTTTTTTTTATATATAAAAAACACGTTGTCAATTAAAATCTATTTATAGATATTTTCTAATTCACTGTTATATATGTTTACAATTGGGCGGATGGATACGTACAGGTGACTCCTCCATGACTGCCGGGACTCGTTTAAACAGCCAGAGTGACAGTTTGATTGGACGTTTCTCCACAAAAGCGTTAAAAACATCTGCCTCTGAGCAACGAACATCTACAGACTCCTGTTGTTGCATAAAGAAAGATAGATAGGGTACAAACCTTTAAACATACTATATATTTTTAAGATAGAATCTCAGACGTCTTTGTCTAGTTAAAACATACATGTGAGGATTATTTGCTAAATAATCTCAGAATTGTTCCTCGGTTGACTAACCAAGCTGTATTCATGTTTGGAGAGAGAGCAGGCCTGCCCCTTTTTGTGCCCTCAAAATGACACAATGATGCTGAATTCAAAGGCTGTGTGGGGGCCACACCATCTGCTGCTCTGTGTTTTTTCTTATTGATTGTGCCACATGACAGTCATTCATTAACTCCATCAATGATGGCTCAGCACATTGCATACGAACATACCAAAAGTAGAAGAGTAACATTTATTATTTTCATATTTATTGCCCTGTACACAAAATGCAGACAATCATGACAACAAAAAAAATACACAAAATGTTTTTGCCTCACCTATAAGACTTTCTAATTGTGAATGTCCTTTTAATCTTTTAATCTTAGCCCAACACGTTAGGTGTTGGCTTCTTGGTTTCCAAAGCAAAGGTCCTGTTTTCGGTTTTATATGACCCCTGAAGTTCTGTCCAGACCCTTTTGATTAAATCTGAGGCACAATTTGTTCTGTTTTCCCCTTTCGAACATGTCATAATTGAATAAATGTCAATGTCATGTTAAACTTATGACATTTCAGTGGATCTATACATTCGATGGATCTATGAATTCATTTTCCATACGCATTCATCCATTAATCCTTAATCCAATTCTGGGTCACCGGGAGGTTGGAGCCTATCCCTGCTGTCATTGGATAAGAGGGAGATTAGGCACTGACTAAGTCACCAGTCCATCACCGCAGGGCCCCAAATAGAGGCAAACACCCATGAATGTTAAAAGGGTCAATTTCAGATCAGTAATATGCCTTTAACGCGTTTTTTTGGACTGTGAAAAGGACGTGCACAGATCTGAAGCATGCATAAGGAGAACATGAAATCTCTACCCAATAAGGTCTTGGTTTGAACCAGAAACTCTCTTCCTGAGAGGCAATTGTGTGAACGGTTGCACAACCTTGCAGCCTGCTTTCTTATTTCTTGTTCATCAAACGTGTGAGGTCAGTTTGTGGAGAGGGTACTTGTGGATATTTCCGTATTCTTGGATACAGCAGGTTTTTACAAGTTCAGAGGAAAAAAAAACAGTTTTAGTATTGATAGGAGCTGTAGAATACTAATTTGGAGGGTCAGTGGTTCAACTCCAGGCTTTTCTAGGCCTTATTTTGAAACTGAACCCCACAACGCCTACAGATACATGTTTGTCATAGGAGGTTTGAGCTGTTTGGACTGGATGAATATGGCATGTAGCAAAAAGGCTCTTTAAAAATAGTTGGTTTTGCTTTTAGACTCAGAGATATGCACAGATTAGAGGTAATATGAGGTGAACATGAAGGCCACAGTATCCTCTTTGGTCGATGTGTCCCTAATATATACCACCAAGAGTCAATTAGAACTTTATTTAAGAGCACTTTTTTTTTTTTTTTTACAAAATGTTAGTGTCAGCTTACTCTCTTTTTAAGAAAAAGAAAAAGTAAAAAAAAAACTTTGGGCAGCTTTATCTTGGAAAAAAAAGAAAACAAATTACAGTTACACCTAAGTTACATCTTACAAAAAGTACTTTGCCATTGCAGCTAAGACTCAGACTTCTTCATCATCATTCTCAGAATCGGAGTCCATTCGGCCCAGCTCCTCGTAATCCTTCTCCAGACAGGCCAGGTCCTCTCTGGCCTCTGAAAACTCTCCCTCCTCCATGCCCTCGCCCACGTACCAGTGGACGAACGCGCGCTTGGCGTACATGAGGTCGAATTTGTGGTCCAGGCGGGACCAGGCCTCGGAAATGGCCGTGGTGTTGCTCAGCATGCACACGGCTCTCTGGAGTTTGGCCAGGTCTCCACCGGGGACCGCGGTGGGGGGCTGGTAATTAATACCGACCTGTTGAGGCACAGGAGCAGGATCGTGATAAAGGAACTGAATCAGGGCTTTTTTAAAAGCGTAAAACAGTGCTACACACCTTGAAGCCGGTCGGGCACCAGTCAACGAACTGGATGGAGCGCCGTGTCTTGATGCTGGCTATGGCGGCGTTCACGTCCTTCGGGACCACGTCTCCTCTGTACAGCATGCAGCAGGCCATGTACTTGCCTTGGCGGGGATCGCACTTGACCATCTGGTTCGTGGGCTCGAAGCAGGCGCTGGTGATCTCCTGCACGCTCAGCTGCTCGTGGTAGGCCTTCTCTGCCGATATGATGGGCGAGTAGGTGACCAGCGGGAAGTGAATCCGCGGGAACGGGACCAGGTTGGTCTGGAACTCCATCAGGTCCACGTTGAGGGCGCCGTCGAAGCGCAGGGAGGCGGTGATGGAGGACACGATCTGCCCGATCAGCCTGTTGAGGTTGACGTAACCGGGCCTCTCGATGTCCATGTTGCGGCGGCAGATGTCGTAGATGGCCTCGTTGTCCACCATGAAGGCGCAGTCCGAGTGCTCTAAGGTGGTGTGGGTGGTCAGGATGGCGTTGTAGGGCTCCACCACGGCGGTGGACACCTGGGGGGCCGGGTACACAGCAAACTCCAACTTCGACTTCTTGCCGTAATCTAAGGAGAGGCGCTCCATCAGCAGAGAGGTGAAGCCCGAGCCGGTGCCTCCTCCAAAACTGTGAAAGACGAGGAAGCCCTGCAGGCCCGTGCACTGATCCGTCTGAGGAAAAGCACACAAAAGGCGGTTTGCAGAACCCGTCGTGGAAATCCCCACACCACTACAGGTACTTGTTGGCAATCTTCACATTTAAGAGTTTTCCCGTTTCTCCCACTGATGAGCTCAGTTTTGATAGAAACAAGTAGCTGCCGACAAATAAAAAACAAAGACTCCAACTCTGGCTGTTTCTTCTCCGAACCCCCTGCGTGTTTTTGGATGGAACCCAGACAGAACCTACGTGTACATGGGGACAACATGCAAACAAAGAAAGGCCTCCAGCCCCAGGGCCTCCAAACCGGGAACCATCTTTCTGTGCAGTCTGCAGACCCAGTTATAATCATCCTATCAAAAAAAGATATTTTATAAGGTGCTGACAAAAGGAGCATCCTCACATCACAATAGGGGAGCACGAGACAAAGTTCGAGTGTATAATCAAATGGATCCTGAATCAAGTTCTTTCATTAATGTCTGTGTGTGTGTGTGTGATGTTGTTTCAATTTAAGCTTACTTCTCTATAAACCGCTAGCTTTGACGGGATCAAACCTCTGACCGTCGAGCAAAGCTTAATTCCCGGGGATAGCGTGATACCTTCAACAAACGGTCGCATGCGTACTGACCATCTTCCGAATCCGCTCCATGACTCCATCGATAATCTCCTTGCCGACGGTGTAATGGCCGCGAGCGTAGTTGTTGGCTGCGTCCTCCTTTCCGGAGATCAGCTGCTCAGGGTGGAAGAGATTTTTGTACTTTCCGACTCTCACTTCATCTGGAGACAAACATCTCGTTAAGAACGGGCAACACCAATCGCAATGGCCTTTGTTGAGATGATTAATATTAAGGTTTGTCAGACAAAATCTGAACATTTCCAAAAATAACAACTATATCAGATGTTAATCACAAGGTTTATGAGTAAAATGAAACCCTATGATGCTTTTATCCTTCCTTTCTTCAAATAAAATGAGAGGTGGTCCAATAAATAGCCGTGAGAGTGATTTAATCCAGAATCAATTTCATTCTCATATAAGGAAAATTTTAGATGTGACTAGAAAATGTTTTTAATGCCAACAAACCCAAGAAGAAAAAGAGGTTAAATTAAAAGTCCTGCAAATATAACTGAGCTCTTATTTGTTATTTTGCTCACATATGAGGACGACATAACAAGGAAAGAATCCTCCTATTTTTTGGGTATATGAATTTAAGTTCTCTTCAAAGCCTTTCCTTTTTTGTGGGTGAGTGTAAATTGCTACATATTTCTGTTTTTGATGTAAAAGTATATTTTCTTTTGGATCCGTTGTGAGCAGGGGCTGAGGTAAATCTGAGAGCCTCTCTCCTCCTGAGTGCTTTACTTTAGAGACACTTTTTAACTCATGGTAAGGAAGAGTGTTGTGTCACTTGACCCTTTAAGTTACCACGTTTGATTCAAGAATCCTGCACATACCATGGCAACAGAATAATATCATACTAATTGCTTCAGCCAAATCAGATAGAGTTGTATTTAGTCTTAATAGTTCATGTCAAGGGCCCAGAACAATCAGGAATGAGGAAGTCAAATTTTGTCTTGAGTCAGGTTTTAGTGTAATTTTTTGTGTGCTATAGCTCTTTTTATCATGTGAAAATACATATTGATTTTGAGCTAGAAATGTTTGTGATATATACATTTTTTACGATTGGTTATCAACTGTATCGGATATCTGAAACACTTGGAAATAAAATGTTTTGGCCCATGTTAGTATGATAGTCATGACAGTTTGTCATGGCCGCGGGAAATGTTTCTAGATTAAATCAAAAGTGGCATGCATCCTTTCAAAGTGTGGAAAAACAGTCCGTCACTCAAAATGCTACAGAGAAGAAAAACCTCAAACATTTAAAGTGTACCTTTAGCTAGCCACAAAATCTCCCTATTCATGCAGTGACAGCTGATGGGACCATTAACTGTTATTAGAAACCACAGTATTCTTAAGTCCTGACAGCTTCCCCTTTAAAAAAAAAATATTTTTTTCCAAACAACTATCCGTGGCATCATTTAAGAATTCGACGGAGATTCTGCCTAAAAGACTGATACTTCTGGAGTGAAGAACAATACATGCTACAAAAAAGGCAGAATAAAAGGAAAGATTTTAAAATGAATAGCAGTTTTCCAAATGTTTATTTCCTAAAACATTTTTTTTATTTTATTATCTGACAGATTTAGGAGTCTGTTGGTATTAATCTAACTCTTTGATAGGAAACACTTAAATTGAAAAATTAAATTTTACATCATTTGCAGATGTAGCTTAATTGAGGAACTCTGATAAGAAAAAACAGGCAAAGTAGAGTGTACAAAAAAGAACAAAAATGTTCATTAATGTCACTTTTCTCTTCCAAACATTTAATGGACATCGTTTAAGAAAACGGAGAAGGGGGCTGCTTACCAATGACCGTGGGCTCTAGATCCACATATATGGCTCTTGGGACGTGCCGGCCGAAGCTCCCACTGCTGAAGAAAGTATTGAATGGATCTTCACGAGAATTCGGCTCCGTGGAATCATCCAGGAAGACGCCATCAGGGCCAATGCCGTGCTCCAGACAGAAGAGCTCCCAGCATGCATTTCCAGTCTGGACACCTGCCTGGCCCACGTGGATGGAGATGCACTCTCTCTGTGCAGAAAAAAGGATCAAGTAAAATGCAGGTAAAAGCATGCATTATGGTTGAACACTTACAAAATGAGCATTTTGATTAAAAAAAAAACTGAAATTATTTGAAGGAGGGCAGCAAGCCATTGAGAAAAAACCATAAAATTCCTAGTAATACTTAAAAATTGTAATTCTTTTTGGGTTGCACCCTGAAAAATGTGAAAAAACCTGAAGTGTGAAAATGTACAAAAAAAACACCAAAAAAACCTAATCCAACCTTAGAGTGTATCTTTTTTTCAAGGAACCTCCAGGGGACGTGTTTCAACACGTTGAGAATTTCAACTTGTTTTCCCAGTAACATCCCTTCAGATGATTTTTCATTGTTGAGTGACATTTGCAGGGCAATTATGAAGCCCGTGAATAGATAGAACTAACAAGAAAAAATGTTGGATTTTCACAAACAACCAGACAACGACCTGATCATGAAGCTATAGAGGTTATCAGCAATAAACCAAAGAGAATCTCTCATGAAAGTTTCATGTTGTTCACACAAAGGGAGTATTGTACAGATAACGTCTCTGAAAAAACACGTTTTTTAGATTTGGTAGATAATCCCACCTGGAGGGAAACACAATGAAGTGATTAAGGAAAGCTAAAAACAGCATAAAAGATTAAAAAAATGCATAGATATAGAAAAATGAATGTCCAAATGTATGGAAATAAAAGTTCAAAACAACAACTAAATAGCAATTGCATAGTCTCTAAAACATTCTCTTACCATGTTGATTCAGATGATTAAAAAATCTAAAAAAAAAAAAAAAGCTTGTAGCTTTTCCTGTTGTCTTTTTAAAGGTTTTTAACTGTTTCTTAGGCGGTGTAGATCCTCTGTTGGGTCCCGGGACGTGTCTCCGCAGACCCAGCCCCGCTTTGAGTGTGGCTCTTTATATGTGCGCCCGTCTGTCTCTGCTGGTTCAGGGCTTCAGGAGGAGGGAGCCCACAGATGGAGGGAGGGAAGGATGGTTAGGCTCCTTCCACAACCAGCCAGTCCCAGACCAAAAGCGTTTTGTTTTAGACAAGTTTGAGGCTTGCTGTCACTTGCAAACATTCGAAGGAAGATCCGTCGGGGCAGTATCCTGTCATCGTCGTCATTTTTCATCCTTTTGTCTGCGTTTTGCCGGCTGGCTCCGGGAACATGGCTGCAGCAGCTTAGCTTTTGTTTAGAAAAATCACAAATTTGTTCATTACTTCAATGTTGTATTCAAGACCTAGTGAACAAGAAACAGACCAAGACAGAAATGATTTGTGATGACCAGTTCTGTATGTAAACACCTCTCAGCTATGGCTCAGGACAGTTTGTCTTTTCTTTTCACCATCCTAAAATAAGTGTGATTGTGGTTCTCTGTGTTTTAGCTAAAGCCTGATTCTACAAAGCTGGTTTTCAACACTGCTGCAAAGGTGTGTTCTGGTCAAAGGCAGAAATTGTGGTTTGGAATTGTGGCCTTTTGGTTCCCCTTTCAGCAGGTTTGACACAATCATTAATCCTGTGTGACGCTTTCATAAGGAATTATGGAGCGTTTGAAGGTTGGTCGTGTGGGGTTGAGCTTGCAAGACTGGTCGTCTTTGGCCTAATTAGGTAAAAAAGTTGGTTAAAGTAGTCAAATATTTTGGTAACAGTACAAGGACAGGGGAAAAAAACTTGAATTATTTGACTTGGGAAGACTGTTCCAGACTCAATTATTGGCTCTTTCAGGTGTCTTTGAATGCCACAATCTCGGGGCGAGTCAGTGAAAAAGTTAGATGGAGGTGCTATTTTAGAGGCTTGTCTCTAAGAATGTGCTGAATAACAGGATAACAGGATTCAGAAAACAGAGGACTGTGTGGGTCCTTTTCTGTGGATGCCCTGTCCATGTTTCTCACAGCGGCCCAGAAAGTAAAAACCAAACATTGAGTTAATGCTTTTCTTCTAAGCCGTTTGCATACACCGGCAGTCCAGAGAGGCTACACATGTATGCTGAAGGATTGCCATGTGTGAATGCAAACATTCCCTGGCACTGAAGTTGTATGTCTCACAGATTTGTCCGTGAGACGGTGGTCAGTGCCGCAGTAGTTTCTCATGACTATTTTCTGCCAGTGGACCAGACGAGAGTTCCTGCTTATATTCTACTTTTTACTGACATGTGGCATTCCTCTCACTCCTGGGTTATGCATTACTGCTACCATCTTCTAGTTTCATTTGCTATTTTTCCATCATGTAGAAAACATTTCACCTCCACAGCACATTTAGTCTGCATCACCGCATGCTTCCACTCAAGAGATTCAGATAGAGATTCCCACTTAGAAGCACAAGTGCAAACAGCAGCAGCAGCAGCAAAAGTCTGAACCAAACTGCCCACACATTGTCTTTCACCACCAAATGTCACCACATCCTTTGCACCCCTCAGTTTCATCTTAACCCTCGCAAAATGCAGGTCGGACAAGTTGCGGTGAACGTGAGATCTGTCTTTTTGTGAAATCGGCACACGTGGAGTTAAATAGTTTTTTTCCTCCAACACAAACGGACACATTTGGTGGCTTTAACCGTTTCTGCTGAAGAGCGCTTTGGGCTCTATTGACCTTTATTCACCACGGGTCGGAAACTAAAAGAGATAACGTGCAGCTAAGGGGCCTCGTGCTGGCCGGCTGTGACTTGTACCTTCAGCCTTTGAACAGGAGGCTTCTCAGTGACTGCGTTCGGAACATTAGCCGAGTGTGGTTATCTGAGTTAGACAGCTAAAAGACAGTAAAGACACAAGACAGAGGCGTTATGGCCATAAAAGCATTGCAGTGATGTACTGTTATAATTACTAATAAGTAATAATTCTAAAGTGTGGACACCAACATTTTTTTTCCTTCTACTTTATCTCCTGATGCCTTTTAACTATCTTCAGCATGTTACGCTAAATGATTTAGCTCAGAAAACGAAATATTCCTAATAGATTATTCAATACACCAATTTGGTGGATAGGCCAGCTATATTTAGGAATGTTTATTCCTCTTATGAGCAGTGGCTTTTCGCAAAATGTGCGCAAAGTGAATATGAAGCATTTTACCTTGAGGAGTGTTTGAACGCCACACACTAAACATTTCTCAGTGTTTTTATTTACTTCCCAGGCAACAGTGATGTTAAGACTTTGTATCATACACATACATGTCCAAACATATGCTGAGGGAAAGAGGGAAATAAAAATAAATCACATGCACCTCAAACTTTATACTTTGACTCTTCAAATTTGTCAAAGGACAAAATCTACCGGTACACTTCTGTCCTTTTTCTAAAACAATATTTATCTTAAGATACATATTCTGAGAGAACAAATAAGTAGGAAACCTTTTTTGATTTAAATGTAAAAACACAAAAGAAAAGGTTTTAAATTATTGACTCCTTGATGACCAAGTATATCCCCAATGGGTCCATTCAATAAGAAGCTAATGTTGCGTAACTAAGAGTGAAATGGGAGGCAACATGGATGCTCACTGTTCGATTTAGGCCAAAGTGATAAGGCATATAGCAGCAAATGGAGACTGAACCTGCTCCATTGTTTTCTTTAGATGAGTAAAAATATATTGCACTTTGAAGACGAACTGAAAAAATAATCTCACAGGTAATGACAGACACGTGTTCCACCCAAGAGTCATGCAAGTGGTGATGGGCTCCTTGGAGGTGAAGTGAAGTCTACCATGGCGTGGCTGAATCTCTGTTGGACAGTCCAACTGGCAAAAGGTAAACCGTCCCGTAGAGGAGGAAAACCTAACAGCGGTACTTCATATTTTTTCCTTTTTCTAAAGAGTATCTATTTGCATACTGGCAAAAAAACGACTCCCTTTGTGGTTCTGTTGTAGTGGCATTTCAGCGAGGTTTAGCTGCCCCCGTCCTCGTCGCCTGCTCTTCTTCACGTGGCTCCGGCTTTTCGGCCGCCGTCACTTTTCCCGCAGAACACAGACGCCCGCGTCGCACCGCTGGGTCGCCATGGAGGTGACGACCTCCCAGGAGTCGATGACTGGGTCGTAACATTCAATACTGCTGAGCAGAGAGTTCCCGTCGTATCTGAGGAGACACAGAAGACGGTGGCGTTTGAACACACCTCTAACCGTGCCCAACAAAGGCAGGATTGTGAATTCCAAGTATATTATTACGCTGACAGGTGTCAGCGGCGTGTTTTTACCAAAGAAGTATTTGCTGAATATTGAGCTGCGGCTCACATGTCAGCTGTGTCGGCCCTGGAAACTTTCTGTATCTACCTTTTATGACCTAAAGACACAAATCCTGTCAGGAGAGAGGATGTTTGGTCATAACTGATAAACAGTGTAGCCTTTACCAGTTATGTGTGATGATGAAATGACCTCTTTCAAAGACTGCACATTAAAAAAAAATAAAAAAAAATTCAAAGGTAGAAAGTACATACAGTTAAATCCAGGTAGCTTAAATGTAAAAAAGAAAAATGATTAAACGCCCGTCCTGTGTTGGTAGAGGCGTGTTGGTTCACGCACTGGGGGAAAGTACAATCCAAAAAATCCTTAAGCAATGGCTCAGTGAGTGTGAAGGCTTATTAGATGCCATTATGCCAATGTTTACAATACCTGACATGATTCGACTTTGTGCTCTGCCACAGAGGCCCTAATGAAAAGCCTGTCTGCACCCCCGCCCCCCCCCCGCTGCCGCCATTCAAATGAACGGAGGATCTTTTTCCCCCTGCGGGGCCAAAGGGAGTGTGAGGTAGGAAAGCAGAAGAGTGGTACTGGTTGAAACCGACAGGGAGGTATTTCATTGGTGTAATCACTAAATTAAAAAACAAAGGAAACAAAAACACAATAACAAAACAACAAGATTTACTTCTTGAAAATATCTGACTGTGAGGAGGTTGACTGCTTCACAGGGCTAAGGGGCAACAGGAACCGCATCTTTAAAAGTCCCTCACAGCTCTACGCATTCACGTGGCGTTTAAAGATGGAGGAGGATGTCCTCACCCGGCGATGGCGTAGAGTCTCCCCCGGAGAACGGTTGCCCCGACGTAACACCGAGGCGTGGTCATGCTGGCTACGGTGGTCCAGTAGTCTGTCCTGATGTTGTACACCTCCACCGAGTCCAGGTGCGACACCCCGTCGAAACCTCCCACCACGTAGATGTGGTCGTTGAGTAAAGCCACGCCAGCACCTGGGGGGGGTGGGGGGTGGGGGGGGGGGGGGAGGTTTTAGACGAGCGGCGGCACCGGGTTAGACGTACGTGACTCCGGCCTTTATTTTCACAGACCTGACCGCTTGGTGGCCATGGGAGTGACGCTGGTCCAGTGTCCCGTGTGCGGGTCGTACCGCTCCACTGAATTCAAGATATTAAGCCCGTCGTATCCACCTACGGGGAGAAAACATTAAAGCCGGGATCTGTCACAGACTTTCTCAACCAGTTGTGTTTTGTTTTTTTCAAATCTGAGGATATAATACTTTTACATCACACCAATTTAATTTAAAATGTCTAAATTCCAATAAGCATCTTGTTTCAACTGAGGCTCCCATGTTCATCCTTAATACTTTACATGGCTGTTATTCTAAATGAGAGTTCTGAAAATGATTTACATGGTCAGAATAATAATAATTTATAGAGGAACTTGACTGCTCAAGCCAGCCTTCAACCAATCAGCAATCGGTGTTCTACAGTATGATTCAAACTGCGTCATTTCATGATTGAGGCTAAATCAGCAGGTTCAGCAGGTTCAGAATGTGATCAGTGGATGAACTCGACCATGTGACCCCTCGCATGTCTCTACGTGGCGAGATCTTTATTTCATACCGAGGCAGTAGATGAGCCCGCTGGCGACCACCAGACCGGCTCCCTCTCTGGCCGTCTGCATGTCCCCCAGCATGCTCCACTGGTCGATGTTGGGGTCGTATCGCTCCATGCTGGTGTGGCGCCGGCTTCCGTCGAACCCGCCCGCCACGTAGATCATGTCTGTCAAAGCCCAGTGACACCACAGTGAAGCAACCGCCTGCTTTTCTGAGAGAGAGGGAAGGGTCACATGCATCTCACAGGACTCCGGCCCCACCTCCGAGGGTGGTGGCTCCGGCGAGCCCGCGCCGGACGTTCATGGTGGCCACGGTGTACCAGACACCGTCCTCGTCGGCGGTGTAGTCCAGACACTCCACCGAGCTGAGCCTGGACCGCCCGTCGTAGCCTCCGATCACGTACACGCGGTCGTGCAGCGACACCGTGGCCACGTAGCGCCTTTTCCGCGCTATGTTCTGCGAAAAGGACAGACCCGTCCACGTCAGCCTCACACACACACACCCGCTGGTAGATACCCGTCTCGGGCGTCCTGTGCTCACCGGCAGAAAGCTCCACTCTTGAGTTTTGGGATCATACTTCTCCACTATGTCGATGGGCGACTGCTGGCTGCCAAACCCGCCGATAACCAGCAGGACCTCTTTGGCTCCTGGGAACGAAAACAGAGGGGGTTACGAGCCGGCTCTTTCAGACAAGCGTATTTTGGCTGAATTGCAGCTGAAGACGGGGTTCCTACCTAGTCTGGCTTGTGTGCGCGGGCCCTGCATCTCACTCCTCAGCTCGGGCCTTAAGTGGAATTTTTTGGCTTCGTCGACGAGGTCTCGACACGGCAGGCTACATCGAATGAGAGGCTAAAACGTGTAAAAACCTGCTTAATGACGGCGCGGTAGACGCTTCAGCGGGCAATCTTTCATCCAAAAGGTGGGCGCGCGGTTGCACAGCAACCTGCGCACCGCCTGGCTCACCTCGGCGTCAATGACATCTGTGATGTAGCGCGGCGTGAGGAGCGGCATTCGCACAAACTCCAGCATGTCGGGCAGGTAGGGCTCCCTCTCCTTGCGGTTGTGTTTGACCCAGTTCAGCACGGCCTCGAACACAGGCTCCTCCGAGTCCACCTGCACACAGACAACGCGTGCTGTGGTCAGTAACGAGCTGGACGCGCTGCGGATAGCAGCCCAGAACCCCGGTACACTGCCCAAAATGTAAAAAAAGGAAACAAGGCCAATCGGTTACGTGACTGGATTTTTAAAAGATTTTCTTTCCCAAGTACAGACAGGAAGTAGTCCACCCATCTTTGCCGTTGCAGGGGCAACAATGGTTAATCAACAATAGTTTCCTCTGAAAAACTTTAAAGTTTAGCCTTTATGTTTTTCCTAATATAATCTTGGGCCTGAGAGATGACTCACTTTTGCGACAGGGCGAACTTGTGAGAGTGATCAGGAGATATGCAAACGGCACGGGCAGCTGCTCCCTGATAAGAACGTCCCCACACTGGCACAGGGGTTTGCATGGAGACTTCTTCCCTACGTCTTATTGGTTCATAGATCAGGTTTAATGTGGCTTTTGCAGCTCTCGTGAGCTTTCTGTTGGAGCCTCTGCATCTGGGCTGCATTCTGTATCGAATACAGTGGAACATAATTCATTTAGGCCTGGTTCTGTGGAGTGGGAATTCTTGCCTTACTGAACAAAATGATCCCTCTTGATCCCCCTGTCGTCCCATAATATGAGTCGCTGCGGGATAATTGCAGCTCATTTTCACCTGCTTCTCCTTCATCCTCCGCTGAATCTGCTCATCTTTCCCCACTTCTCTTTTAGTGTCACCATCCAAACTGCTCTGCTGATTAGAAAAGTGCTTGCTAAGCCACAGTGACCTTTGACAATACCATGGTCTAAGAAAACTGGAGTTTAACGCTGGCTAAACCGTTCAAGCAAAGCACCCCAAAAACTTTACGGGAAAATATTTTATGTTTGACAAGATTAGATGTGGGAAAACCATTTAAAAATAAAAAAAAAGCCATTTAAAAAGCCATGCAACGAAGCTGCTGGCCCCAACTGTGGAGCTGTGGAGGTTCCTGCAAGTAGCTTAAACCTTTTGCCATCCAGTTCCATGTATGAATAATCACCAGTGACAGCTGTTGTGCAACAGGTTTGTGTTGGTGTGCTGTTAAAACCAAGTCTGTTTCCTGTGGATCGTCACTGTACACAAAGTACACAAACACAAAGTGATGTGAAAAGTCCAACAAGCACTGATTTTATAGCTCTGTTTCTATTGACCATTTCATTCATTTGTAACCACAGTTTAAGATATAACCCTTTTTATGTGTGATCCACATGCATATCGGTGCTGCTTTGGTAATGTGGGAATTACCTGAACCAAATTAATGAACAAATAAATAAAGTTAGCCAAAGAAATTCCAAGAATATTATGAACAGAATTTATTTTTTGGAAAAGTTCACCAAATCAATGCAATCGGACCATATACTTACCACATTTTTAAACGAGGGACATGCCCTCAGACCAACCTATTAGGTGTTTGCATACGTCCCCATATTTTACAAAACCTCTAGGAGAAAACATCTGTAAACCTCTGATGTGAGACCTCCCTGTAAAGTTGCCAAAACTATTAGCATCGCAACTATTTGACAAGTCTTCTACCGGTGAAAACACAACGTGCAAAGGAAAAAGCCCAGGCCGCTTTAGGAGGAGCAAGCTTTAAAAATTCCTTTGAATTTTTTAAAAATCCTTGGAGAGGACAGAGAATACTTTAACAGAGGGCAAATTGTGCGTGACTGCGTTTCACATGTGCAGTCTAGTTTGCTTTGGTAAAAAGAAGAAGCTGCAAAAATGACAGGTAGAACGATTTCACACAATTGATGATCTATAAATCAACACGTGATAATAACTGTGTTTTTCGCAAAGCAATGCATGTGGTTGGGATGCAGGAATTTCCTGAGCACAAAGGCAAACTTAAATCAGGTTCACGTCTCTGCAATTTCATTGTCAGGCCCATCCACACAACTGTGCGGTGTGGGGGGGGGGGGTTGTTACTCTGACTGAGATTACAGCAGGTTGGTACTTGTTCTCTTTTTGTGCTCCGGTTTTTGACTGACAATAAGTAAGCTGTAAAAGTGTGACAAACCCAAATTGTTTGGCAACTCCACATAGCAAAAGCCCCTCATAGAGTGCGTCGTTCCTGTGCCTTGTACAACAAAATGAGTGATTCTGGGGAGGCAGATGGCAACGAACCCTGCCCCACGCTCCTTTTTCCTACCTGAATTTCATCGCATTTGATGAGCTTCTCCACCTCCGTCTGGCTCAGCAGCATGAACTCCTCGTGCTGAACCACCTCGGAGAAATGCTTCTGGGAGAAGAGCTCGGCGGCCTGCATCAGGTCAAGGCAATTGTGCGTCTCGGCAAAGTCACGAATACCCAAACAGTTGGAGGGGTCCAGCTGACTCTCCAAAAAGTCACAGCAGGCCCTCTTGACCCCTGAAGAAAAAGAAAAAAAACAACAAAAAACACAAAGATAAAGATATAGAAAGGTTGTATGTGCGGAAAATTGTCATTAGGGTTTCGCCAAATCCTGATAGACAGGTATTGAAAAGCGGTTGCTTGCAGTTTGTAAGCGCCCTGGGCCATTTCTCTGGAAAAGTGCCACCTCTTCAATACCACAGAACTTCATGTCAGTTTTATCACAACACAGATTAAATCGTTTCAAGGAGGAATTTAAAAAGTTTCCAATTAGAATCTAATAGTTTCATGCCTACAGTTGTGATTACTTGCATGTGGATGATGTGAAATATGCTTGAAATGGAAAAAAATAAAGGAAGGTATTATATTTACCGACCATCGGAAACTGAGCAGGTGATAAATGGGTTATTGTTTTCACCGTGTCTGTCCCATTGGCCAGGGAACACGCCGTTTATAATCCGACAGCTAAGTTTTTCTGCCGTAAACTGCACCCGGGATTCGTTTATTTGCAGAATCCTAAAAGGTGCAGCAGGTCCACACCGCCTGCATTTCCCTTCTCTGGTACAACAGTTATTGTTTCTAAAAGTGCAAACGCGGCACTTTCTTTCAAATTAAGCATTCGCTAAATGTGTTAATGTAGGTAAAAATGACTGACCGATAACTTAGATTGTTCTTCCCTTTCTGCTGGATAAAAAACAAAAACACCTACTTTCAGTATTTAGACCTTTGACTACTCTTGATCTTTTATTAACCCCAACAAGAAATAAAGAGGTTTTTGGGAGACATGCAGACACCTTTGTGCACTTACCTTTGAGCTGTAGCAAACATGCAGCAGGGAGAAGCTCTTGTACGTTTTCCACTGTGACGAGTACAGTCTCCGTGTAAACAAAGTCCAGCAAGATCTCCATAGTTGATGCAGTGAGCCCCTGAATGTCGACAAAAGATTTCCCCTTTTCTGCAAGCTGTAGGGTCACACCAAAAAACAGCAGAGTTAGGATGTTAGTGTAGCCCTGCAGTAAACTGCGACTCTAAGAATCATAATGAATCCAAAGATGGAAAAAACAAAACTATATTTTCCCTGACCTAGCTGCTTTAGAAAACAACACAACATACAACTGGGATGTGTATCATTTGTTGGTTTGCTGCATGATAATAGTCACTGCTGTACTGAATGATTAACTTTTGTGTAAGTCTATACAAAAGTCGATTCTCTGGAAGAGCGAAACAGCTTTTCCTGAACAAATCAGCCCGTTTTTTAAACAATCTATCATTCATATAACAGATATTTTTTAAATAAATCATGATGTGGGCTTCACAGGCCATGGACATCACGGGATTGGTGCCACATGCAGCATTCTCCTTGCTCATTCTAAAATTCGGTTTAAGTCTCTTGAGCCTGATCGCAACAGTCATCATAAAAGGGGCCAAGTGTAGAAAACAAGGATACAATGGAGGTCCCAAAAAATAGAAAAACAGCTCCACTGGACTAAATGATTTATTTTTCCCTCCAGCATAAAGCAACAAAGCACAGTAATCAATTCCCTCAAAAAGTAATTTTGTTTGCAAAGAACAGATAAAAAGCCAACAACATCTCAGAGGTCCCCGTGTTTCTGTGACTGCCCCCAAGTGGTGGCAACACACTCTAACACGAGGAAGTGAGTGCTTGAGTTTTTTAAATAGGAAAGGGGAACATTCAAGAGGATCAAACTGTAGTGGATCCGTCACTTGTTGAGCTGCTGGAAGGATTCGATTTTAATCTAAAAAACAAAGGTTTTACACATATATACACACTATTGAAGGTTTGTATTGTGTAGAGTTTTATATTACTGTGTTATGTTAATTTCAGTTGACTCAGTTGAACTATGATGTTTGGGTCCTGTCAATAAAAAATAAATAACTAAAAGGTTGGAATGCAGCACAACAGGAAAAACAATAGGGAGGGTAAACAGTTTGGCTAACCAACAGACGGGAAAACAGCTTTACCTCACTGGTGAACATGGCACAAAAGTAGTCACTGCAGGCAGCCAAGACGATCCGGTGAGCTGGAAAATCTGTGTTCTCCACCCTCAGAGTGATGTCGCAGAGCGTGTTACTCTTGCGAAGGGAGTTCATGGCATTGAGGATGGATTTGGCGTGGGAATTGGTCATGATGTCTTTCGGAGCCATGCTGCTCTGAGAATCCCTGAAGGATCTCAAACTAGCGCAAGAATCTGAAAACAAAACAGAAAACCTCTGTCATGGCACAACACTTCACAACTTCATGATTGTTTTCACACGCCTGGCAATAGTCACCTAAAACGTGATGGGCCAGGTCAACAGATAGACTACCCATCACTTGCAGGTCAAAGAAGAGAATGAATTTGTTTTTGTCACACATAAATGTACAAAGTCTGTGAATATCTGTCAAAGTAACACTGATGTGTGGGGAAATCTGAGACAGTTTATAGACAAATGAGATAATGGGAAACAATTATAATTAAAATAACTCTCTGATCAATGAGAGATCATTAACAAGATCACCATTCTCATTTACCATCAACAAAAGTCTGTAAAGGGTCAGAGGTTGCAACAGTACAATAGTGCTACTCATATTTGACATACAAGGGAAGTTAACAAAAACAATCTACCTCTATATCGATGATAAAATTGAGACTTTGATAATGTCCAATCCGTGACACCTGTATTTAACAAAAGAGCATACTTTCTCATAACACATTTAATCTGTTTTCGTGTTGTGAGGTGATCCAAAAATGTTGAACAACACAGATTTCTATAAAAAATAAAGCACGTTTAACATTTTGCTATAAATAAAAACTTCCTTTAAACTTACACACAAAAAAGCTATTTCTAACCTCAAATACAAATGAATGTTTATTTTTAGGATCGTGACAACTTACCGTTTAAAGATCTGAATACTTTTTCCACCACTGGGAGGCAATAACTATAGCTACACATGAGCTAACAGCAGCAGCCAACGACAGCTGACGGAAAACGCCAACGCCAGACAACAACTTAAGAAAACACAGCGATATAAAGTGGGCTGGTGGCCGGATGGGGACAACACATGAAGCGACACACACAGAAGAACTTGGCAAGAATGTGCATAATACCTGTCGCAGCAGTAAGGCTGATTCAAAACGTCTAGCTAAGTTGCTTAGCTAGCTAACGCTAGTAGCACCAAAGTCCCTCGTCCCAGTTCTTGGTGTCAGTCACACTGGCTGAGCTAAAGCTAATCCATCATGATCTCTGTCAGGTCACCCTTTGCGCGGCTTCCGTAGGGACAAATGTGTGTGGAATGTCAAAATAACGTCATGTTAACTCCCGAAGCGGTGTTTATCCAGTAATACTATTTCGTTGACTAAACTGTAGCAGGTCACAGTAGCAGCAGCGACTCCTCAGATTGGACGTAAACAGACCGCTGCGTAAGTATACGTGCGCGCTCCCCAAAAGCAGGTGTTTCGCCGAGGTAGTCCCTCTCCCCCCGATTTAAAAAAGTAAAACTTTTATACGCGCGCTCAGTAAAGCAAATTTGTATTTTATGATGATTGGCTTCACTGTTATTGTTTAGTTGATAAAACTCAGTCATTCTGTGCTATCAGACATGTTATAATATTCTAATTTCAATTATTCGAAAACATCCCCTGGATATGAAAATACTCAAATTCTAAATTCTAAACAGTATTCTATACCTTCAGTCCACGCCTCCAGTGCAAAAAAACAAAAACCGATATATATATATATATATATATATATAATAACATATACAGCAACCCATATATACAAGTATATATATATTTATTACTACACCATTATTATAAAAATAAGGATCATTTCTCATTTTCTTTTTAATGTGGGATTTTTTTTTATCACAAACACCACCTAAAAGTATATTATTTTTTGCACTGAAAACGTGGTATAAAAAGTACAATTTTCCATATTCCATTTCCCCATTGTAAATGCGCGCTCCCGCGTTTGGGGGACTCTCTTCCTGTCAGGGATAAAAACATCGCTACGACACCTGACGCGTTTCTTTCCTGAAACAAGATGACTCCCGCGCGCCCTCGCCGGTCGCTCGCCGCTGTTGTTGCCGTAGGACTGGTAAAGTGATTTATTTTAATTAACAGTGTTGCATTTAGTTTCAAACAAGGACCTAGATACACAGTTTCTTTCTCAGAGAAAGCTACAGAGGTGTATCATCGCTCAATAACACATTGTGCTCTTTTTTTTCCTTTTTCTTTTTTTTTTTAGTCACTCAAGGACGGCAGCCACACCGCGTAGGAGGAGCTAGCGGCGTGTTTCCGCTAAGAGCAGGCCGAGACGATAATCTATGCAGCCGTACCGAGAATTGTAGCGGCAGAACATTTGGCAGCTATTACAGGAAATTGTTTAACTCCAATTTGTTTAATCACCGGGGAGCTGCGGTTGTCCGTATCGGGTGGGGAGAAGAAAGAGTGGCAGCTGGGCTGTAAGCAATGGAAGCCGAGTTTTTGGAAATCGATGAAAAGGGGAGTTGGAACGCCGTTTATCAGGTAGGAACTCTCGGAAGATCAAGGTGGAAATAAACCATAGGGCGGAGGGTTGGGGTGGGGGGTGAGCTGTCACTTTCGGGCCAAATTGGAACGAATTCGCAACTAGTGGGTAGCGACGTGTTGTTACAAGATATTTTTTGATACACGAATGAGCTTTAGTTTGGACAAATTGCGTTCTCGCGGCTCGGACCTCTCCGATGATTCATGTGTCTGCCCGGGTCTTAAGCCTGCAGCACGTCTCGACACGGAGCTGTAAAATGTAATCGCTCTGACACAAAAAAGTGTCTTTCTCTTGTGTTTTCCCTTAAAATTTTTTTAAATGTCTCACCATGAAACAATGTTTTCACTTTCAAACCTTTAATTCCTACCAGTTGGCCGTTTTTCAGCGGTGTTGTTCTACATAGCTTTTTTTAGTATATGTGTGTGCTAACGTGTTTATCCACCTACTGCTCACGAACCAGCAAGCTAGTTTTTGATACCGATGAGGGTGCCCGACAAATGCCTTGATACCATTTTAAATGGTACGAAAACCTCCCCGGGACCATATTAACGTTGTTTTTTTTGCTGTCATTTTGGTACAGGAAATTCGCCAGCAGTCGTGTGAACTGCCCTGTAAGGTTGCCAAATCCCCCGATAACAAGACTCGGAACCGCTACCGGGACGTCAGCCCGTGTGAGTAGCTCCGTAAAGCCCGCGGTGGGGTCCCGGTTGTCCGGAACCATGGAAGCACCCTGTGTTTTACCCGGATTTAGGCTTTGTGGTGTTTGTAATGTCGTGTTTATGTTCTAACGTCCGTGAATAATGACTTCCTCTGAAAAAGGAAAAAAAAGGCCCTATTTTTTTTTTTTTTGTCATTTCTGACATTTCAAATGAATAGCTTAAAAATAGGGAACATTGTTTTGCTGCAACTCTCTTAAAATCTGCTTTGTCATTCTTGTAAAAAGTCTGCATTCAACCAACTATTTCCATGTAAGAGTTACTTTAGAGTGCAGTATTTAGATGAAATATTATTTTATGATATGACTACATTGGGTCCAGCCTTTGAGAGGGGGGGGGGTAATCTTTTTCACGCTGTGTGAACTATGCAAATTGTGTATCCTGAGATGCAAGTAGTTGGTATTGTTTTTTTTTGTTCTTTGTGTTCTTCAACTTCGTCTTTAAACAAGATGTGAAAATAGGGAACCTGAAACTCATCTGTGACATGTGTGCTCCTGTGTCCTTTTTGTGTGGTGAAGTTTTGCTCGTCGTTGTTAAAAGTCAAACCCCAGTGACCTTCAGTTCCTTCACAGATGCTCAGTCTTCAGTGGAGTCTTTTTTTGTTTTTTATTGTTTGTTTTTTTTCCCCCCACAGTTGACCACAGCAGGATACGCCTGCAGCATGGCGCAAATGACTACATTAATGCCAGCCTAATAACAGTAGAAGAGACACAGAGGAACTATATTCTTACTCAGGTAAGAGTGGAAGGTTCATGTCATATAATGTGGTAAATGCTTTTAGTTCAGCTTTAAATAGACATACACACTCGCACATATATGTATATCTTGATTTTGTGTTCTTTGGGGTGTCAGAGAGGTCATGTGGCTGTCAGGGAAGATTGTTGGACAAATGTGGTACTTCTTCTTTAGCACACTGTTGAGCGACTATGTTCCAGTCTGCCACAAAGTGTTTACTGAATGTTTTATTTATGTTTTATGAACACTACATGAGAGGTTTTAATGCAAGAAGCACCTTGTTTAAAGCTCTGCTGGCGTTTTGCCCCATAATACTGAGAGTGAACAGTTTTTTGTTTTGTTTTTGTCCTTCCTATTTAAGGGACCCCTCCAAAACACATGTGGCCACTTCTGGGAGATGGTGTGGGAGCAGAGGACCCGCGGCGTAGTGATGCTGAACCGAGTAATAGAGAAAGGATCTGTAAGCTTTTCTTTCCTTCCTGTCGGAGTTTGAGATGGTGGCATCATGCCTCAGTGACGCTGGAATGTCACAGTTGTTTCTTTTTCGTTTTTGTGTTGTATGACCTGCTCCTTCTTATGATTTTAGATCAAGTGTGCCCAATACTGGCCTCAAAGAGAGGAGAAAGACGCCATCTTTGAGGATACCAATTTTAAGCTCACCTTTGTCTCGGAGGACGTCAAATCTTACTACACGGTCCGTCAGCTGGAGTTGGAAAATCTGTCTGTAAGTGTGTTTTCTCTCTCTTAGGTTTTTTAGTCCGATTAAACTCAGACTGAAATAACGTGTGCAAATATCCGCTCTCTAACTTTAATGCAAATAACCAAAATGGAGCGTGGTGTCATCAGGCCTCCTCTCTTTTTGTCTCTCCTTGTGAGCGTGTGCATAGTGTAGTGTACATGGAAATGCAGCAGTTCTGGTCAGTCTTTGCCAGTAGACTCCCAGTTTGGCTATTTCTGTCACGTTAGTGCTTCGTTTTGAGCTCAGAAAATGAGAGTTTTTATCCCGATGCAATCCTAATTACAGAGCCAAGATCAAAATCAGTGTCATATCAGTTTCACACTTACTGAAAATCGGCCTCTGCTGTGCAGTTGTTTTCAATTTTGTGTACTGCAAACTGTCTTTGCTTCACTAATAAAAGGAGTTTGACATTGCCGCTGTCTTCACCTGCAGACTCGGGAGACGCGTGAGATTTTACATTTTCACTACACCACCTGGCCTGACTTCGGGGTACCGGAGTCTCCCGCCTCCTTCCTCAACTTCCTATTCAAGGTGCGGGAGTCGGGCTGCTTGAACTCGGACCAGGGACCCGTGGTGGTGCACTGCAGCGCCGGCATCGGGCGCTCTGGGACCTTCTGTCTGGTGGACACCTGCCTTTTGTTGGTTTGTACAGTGGCTTCTTTTTCTTTTTTTACACAATGAAATATCTCCAATCACAGAGATACAATTGACCCTTTTCCTTATTTTCTTTTTTTTTTGTTTTCTCCAACATACATGTACAAATTGTAATGTAATAGTCAATGAACAGCCCTACTACCACATGTAGAAAGTGTAAAAGCTACAACAGTAACACAGTTGGGTAATACAACCAAATGAAAGAAATAGGAAATAAAGGATTGGCGTTTGTGAAAATATTTTGACTGTACATCCTCTCAATGTGTATTTAATTTTCTCACGTTAAAAAGAAAAATAATAGCCACCAGGAGAAAGAAAGATGCACAGTGGTATTTCATGAAGTAGATGGAAATGTAGATGAAGAAGCAAAAAAACACGATGGAACCTTAAAGGCTTCATTTAACGTGCCTTTTTTTTTTGTCTGATGTTTTACCTTAGATGTCCCTCCGTAAAGACCCGTCATCGGTACGCATCCGGGACGTGCTGCTGGAGATGCGCCGCCATCGAATGGGCTTGATACAGACTGCAGACCAGCTCCGCTTCTCCTACCTGGCCGTCATTGAAGGCGCCAATTACATCAAGGGGGATACATCTCTGCAGGCAAGTTCCTCCTCGCTTGTCGTCCAGTAAAACTCAAGACTTCCATTTCTCTTTAAAGAAAAAACATGTTTTGTGTAGCAAAAACTTGTATTTAAAAAAAAAAAAAAATTTGTTTCCCCTCTTTAGGAATCGTGGAAAGAGCTATCAAAAGAAGAAGATGATCCTCCCGAGTTCTCCCCTCCGCCTCCCCTTCCTCCTCCCAGAGACCCTCACAATGGAAAAGTGGAGCCGTCTTTTTTCCCAGACGACGTGGAGCTCATCCAGCGGCAGGAAGTCCGCACTGTGGGGTAATCATCCGACGCCTGTTTTGGGATTATCAATTAGTAAAATCGTTGTTGGCCTAAGATTTCGCAAGACTCGGGTTTGTTTTATGTTTTTGTTTTTTTTTGTAAGGCAGCCAGTGACGTGCAGGGTCTCCATTAATGTTTAAACACTTGGGTGTATTCTTCTCTATTCCTATTGCGTTTAAGCAGAAAAGGCTGCAGGAGTTTTTGGATCAGACTTTTTAGATGGTACAGAGGTTGGCTTGGAAGCAGTCGGCAGCTCTAACGTAGCTTCAGAATAGCTCTCTCGCTCTTGTGCTCCTTATTCTTTTTGGCTCCGTCCGACATTTACAACGGACAGCAAAGATTCCTCTGTAGTGAAGTTTTAAAGATGTAATTTTCCCCCCCCAGTTCTATCAATGATCACAGGAAATTCCAAGTTATGAGGCCAAAAAACATGAACTCACACGGGGCCATGCTTAAATATTTGATGACCTCAGCTCAGAGCAGTGGACTTGATATAATGAGTTTTTGCTCATTAAAAATGTCACACTGATGTAAACGAGCGTTTTCCTAGTTTCGCGTAGTTGAAAATGAATGAGAAAATATCTGAAAACCAATAACAGAGGGGGCAGCTTGTGCGGTAATGATTAGCATTCGTCCGCATGGAAGAGGTATCCCCGCGGCATAATTTTTGGAAACCACAGCGGGGAAATTGGATTTACGGCCGTACCCAGCCTGTCCGTTAGAATAGAAATGCCTCACAACAACGGCTCAATGAAAAATGTGAAGGAATCTGTTTTGTGAGCTTGAAGACTGGCTGCCACGCCGCGATCGTCCTATCGATTTAATTTGCGGTTACGGAGTGGACTCCTGTCTGAATGTAGCATGCTGGGAAGCCGTGAAAAGCTGTGCTGAATTAAATGAGGGGCACTTTGTAGCTTTGAAATGCGCCCGGGAAATCAATCTTTACCTTGAACTCTGCATAAGCTGCCGCTGACAGCTGCTTTGTGCTTATTGGTCAGTGTGGGTGGGGCGTCTGGAAGGGGCACCTTGATCTCTCCCAAACAGACTCTCACCTCCTTCCCCTGCTTTAATCCTAAAATGGTCTCCTCTCTCTCTCAGGTCCTCGCCCGACACGGATCTCCGAAAAAGGAACGTAGCCCCCATCCCTCAGCCTCCGCCCGACGGGGAGACGCAGGTGGACGGGCCGGCGGGAGTCCAGGGCCCCGCGGCTGCCGCTCAGAGCAAATCCCCGCCGGCGGCGGAGGGGGGGGAGCAGCAGGCGGCGGGCCCCCCCGCCCCGGGGGCGTGGTCGCCCCTGCTCGCCAACGTGTGCCTGTGCACGGCGCTGGCGCTCAGTGCTTACGCTTGCTACAGAGCCTACTTCCACTGATGTCTCTATTTCCCCCCTCCCCCCCCCCATCCCCCCCCGATCCTCCTCCCTCTGTTTCCTGTCTCTCCACCAGTGTCACAAAGTGGACTTGGCAGGCTGACCGGCCCGCTCCGGCTCTGCGGGCGCTGAGCGGGCGGTTTCGTCTTCGAGCAGATTCAGGGTGAACCCCGTCTTTAGTTTTCTGAATGCAGTGCAAGGGGTGGCCGGCTGCCACTCATGTCCCCCCCCCCC